CGAAGCCTTCACAGATGATACTCGAGTTGACAGTAAATAAACCATGAACCTATCATCCCTGACTTCGTAGATTTAATATCCTAGTCTAAATGCAAGCAAGGTTATGCTCTGAAAACAAGATTTAAAGAAAAGGTAATATACAAATCTACAATTAATGGGTTGCAGACCCTAACATTGGTGCACTACACATTTTCACCATGTGATCAATGTATACACCAAATTTCTTATTGTAGCTTAGATATACGCAAAGATATGCTCTGTACAAGATATTTTTAACAAAGGACAATAACTCTTTAATTAATGGGTAAAGGTACCTGAATTTAATACACAGCATATTGTTTTGCTTTTGGTTTTTACATGAGCAATGTATACATTGGGCAGTTATTCTCCCTTAAGAAATTTTTAACCAAGGGCAGTAACTCTGTTATTGAAGGGGTCGAGGACCCATAATTTGGTTCACTACACATTCTTTTGATATGATCGATGTACACTCTATGTTTCATGGTCTATGCTTTACTGTGGGCTAAGAACAGACTGACAGACAATGCGGCGATTATGTGCTCACCTGAAAATTTTCAGGGAGAACAAAAACTGTTTTTAAATGCTGTGAATTAACTGCCAAATTATTATCCATTATATTTTAGTATTGTCATTTTTGGAAACAGACTGCTACAGGTTTATCAGTTAAATCATGTTACATTATGTAGGTCGCTTATGAGACCAACACAAATCTGACATCAAAACATTGAAACTCACAAAGGCACTTGAATCATTGATCATGTCTCATTTAAACACTTGAAAGATGTAAATTTCATTCTGCAGAACAGGTACCGAAAAGAAATATCTGGAACAATATTTAATTTTTTTTCTTCATTTTGCAGCAAAATTTGTTAAGTCAGTGTGATTTTTCTGTGTGGGGTATCTTTATTTATACCCTATCCATAAATACTGTAAAATAGTTTATTTTTGCTGGGGATTTATTTTTGGTGATTTTGTGGGTACTCTTAATCCATAAATTCATATGTCCACAAAGAAATAAATGATATTACTGGTTATGTTTTTGGTATAAATGGGGGTATATTTATCCATGAAATCAAACAATCGTGAAATAATGTTTTGAAAAAAATTGAAAATTGAGCCCCACAAAAATATATGATTTTTCAGTATCTTTAAGTATGACCAGAATGGCATTTCACATTCACTTTTCACCATATTCATTCAAGATGAACGGATAAAGAAAAAGGGAAGTAAATGTAAACCAGATCTTTGATGGTAACTTACTGTACCATTTAACAATGATGGGCATACCGAATAATGTTACTGTTCACTACAACAGGTCATTATGTACTATAAAGTTAAATGATAACTGTAACGACAATGAATTATTCATATGTTTATTATACAAAGTTCATATTCCTGTTGTGTTAAAAAAAATAAAACATTACATCGAAAGTTGACAATTATAAAAATTACATTAAAATCTTTCAATAAGATGCCTTTTGTCTCAGGCACTAGCAGTTCAGTGATACATAATTCTTAAAATACCTTTTGCTTTTTGACAAATAAACAAGACACCAGAAAAACAGATTTGTTGAATAATGTTCATAGTGGTTTAGAAACACTATCAATAATATTTTCTGTAATAATAATTCTTAGAATTACTCCATGACACAAAAATCTACTGTTATGTTTGAATAAGTAAAGCATGAAGAATTCTATCTCCCATACATCCTGCCTGGAGTGATAGAAAGAAGAGAAGGAAGGATACAGTATAGACACACGTACTTTTACACTTGCTCACAACACCCACTAAAGATATGGCAGGAGATGGAAGAACAAAACTAAATGCTAAGTGTGTTGGGGAAAGTATTGAATCAGTACTTTAACATTCATCACCTTGTGAGTGGGGGAAAGTCCTGAGTCAGTACACTACCAAAACTAATCTCCCTGTGAGATACAAATCTCTGGCAGTGAAATGGATTTTTCATGTTGGGGGGGGGGGGGGTTTAAATTGAACAAATATTGTTAAAACTGAAATTTTATATTTGAAACTATAGCAGTAATAAATTTAATTTAGATCATTACAGAAAAAAATGTTTAACCTTTCAGAAAAAAATGACACCAGTTTCAATATTTTCATGTTTTTTTAGGATATTTAGGTTATTTTAGGTTTTTAACAGCTGATGACTTAAACCAGATATTTAGAATATTTAAAATGGAAAGTAAAAAAAGTTTGCAAAAAAAAAAGACAGAACAATTGCTTAAAGGGATATAAATCTGCATTTGAAATACAAATCAAACTCTCAAAGTCTTTAAGAGTGTAGTGGAATACATGTAGATATGAGTTTGTTCCAAAGCCATCTCCATCTAGATTCCAATCTGTTCCATGTCCTAGCTTTCCTACCCCATATTTTTGCTGCTCCATTGAAACAGCATAAGATATCATGGACATGCTAACACTCTTGTCATCAGATGTTTTATAATAATACTAATAATAATATTCCAATAACATTCTACAGCTGGAAGCAAATAAAGAATCAAAATTCAAAGTTGTGCCTTCTAAGACATGGTACTGGTGTTCTTTTGTCCCATCATTTCAGTAATTTACAAATTTCACAGAAGGCACCTATTTAAGACAGTTATAGTACATAAAAATATTGCTAGCTATGGGATAAGGTTGCATATATAAGTATTAGCTAATGTATTTTATCATGTATTTATGACTATACATGGTTATGTACTTCAGTGCTCATACAACACACAGTATTGAAGTACAATTCTACTTGATACAAATAAAATAAAGTGCAATAACAAACATAAAAAATTAGTTTTGCAAGAAACGTACATGTACATAATATTTCATAGTTTTGTAAATATAACTGGATACCATCAAAATTACGATTTTTTTTTATCTATGTTGACCTTTTATCAAAGCGAAGCTTATAATGTATTCAGTAAACAAACAACCTTTCCACAACATTCATCATGATCAGTAATTAAGAATAATTAATTATTTAACAGACATAGATAGACATTCTGATTCCTTGTGAATTTAGTCCAAGAAGAAAGTTACTCATAAGAATCTATATTGCACCAGCTAAATTATTTCATCTGTAGAAATTTCATATTATAGAACATTTTTTTCATTACAAGTGTTTATCTAGAATAAATACAAATGAGTTTTTCTATTCTTTTATTAATATCTACTTCAAAAACCCAGCACAGTGTAAATGTTTCAACTGAGAAAATTAAAATCATTCCTCTTGTTTATTTCTATTCTAAACAAAAATCAACTTAAAACATGCAATTTTAACAAGCTTTCTTTACATTAACAACATATAAGTCACATTTTAGATGTGTGCTTTCTGGGGACTATCACACCCTAAAATGTGACTATCAAATTAAACTGAAACAAAATGTCTAGACATTTACTTAAATGAACACATTTCAAGAAGTGAAGTCTTTTGAAAATGTCACATACCCGCCCCCCCCCCCCCCCCCCCAAAAAAAATAAAAATATCCATAAATCAAAAGAAGGAGAAAAAAAAAGAAGCTTGTCCCACTGTGCGTTAATCCCTTCAATTCCAATTCAATGAAAAATAATTTGATGTTGAAGAAAATGTTCTGCCTGATAAAACAAGAAGATCAGGCACAATAAACACATTACTATTAATCCTATCTACTAGATAGAGAAATGGCCCAGCATTGATTCCTGTGTAAATTCATATCCAACTAAACGTAAGAGATTGATTCTCCAAAACTCTATTTACAATGCTGAATTGACATCAGAGACACAAATGGCCAAGGCATAAAGCGATGACTAGACAAGCTACAGAAAAAAGAAGCCTTTTTTCTCTCTCTCTTTTCTAAGATCCTTTTTAGTTTGTTTGCAATGTACACAAAACCCGCACACTTTCTCATATACAATAATACATACTTATATACAACAAAAGGTTATTTATTACACAAGCTTCAAACCAGCATTAAAATATATACAAGTATGCAACAGTATTCCACATAACATTTTAAAATGGAACTCAAAGCTTATTCATTGAGGAATCAACATGGGGCTAAGATGGTAAAGCTATACACATACATTGCATTGAAATAAATAAAATATTTAAATAGAATTACAGAAACTAGGTAGTCACATGTCATAGTATTATTTCAATATTCCATGTTGCTTTACTCCCTAAAGAGTTTAATATTTGCGATCAGAGATTCACAAAAATAATAAATCTGTTCTGAGATTCTTTTGAAAACCTCTTTTGTCTGTGTCCAAGATATCAAAAACGAAAAAAGAAAAATAGGCAAAAGATAAAGTTTCTAGGTTTTATAGCAGATATTATTGGGTTTTTTTTAAAAATAAATCTGATCATACTCTCAATTTTAAAATAAGAAATATATGTAACCTGTTTTTGATTTTGATTGAATGTAACAAGTCTATACAGCTAGATGTGTTTAATACTTGTACGGTTTCGGATTTTCACTGTTTGAAATGGATTTTGAAACTGAAATGATGAGATCGTATTAGCTACAATTAAACACAATAATATCATTGAGTTTTTTTCAGGTATGGATTTTCTTTCTATTTACAATACAGACATGACGCATAGCATGATACATACATCTTAGCATGCACATTTGAAATAATTGAGAAATGAACCAAAGCTTGTGCAATATGCCTTTCATCAAATTAATTAAACTGACAACTCCTAATCAGAAGTCTTGTTATTGGTTTCTTAACTTTGTTTGTTTTTATCATTTCTGTCATTTGAAAACTGAAATGTTTGCAGCCAGTATATACAGTTTAACAGAAACTGCATGGTTTGTAAGGACATACAAAATACAGAACACAATTCTTTCTAATATGTTATCCACTCCAAAATATTCTGGTTAAAAATGCATGTATTACTTCTATATGGAATAAGAAATCAATGGATTATATTCAAAGACAACAAACTATTAATACAAATATCAGAAGAAAACATACTCTCTTGTTCATCGATATTCGGAGAAGAAACTCAATAAAGTGATTGTGAACAACAAGAACTACTGTCTTGTATGCTAATTTTTGCTCCTAGACTAAGCGTTGTGAAGTTACAAGCTACTTACAAAGTATATTTCTGCAAATATGTTTCATTCTAAATAAAAAGCAAAGGAACAGATGAAAATAATTCACTATTTGACCACTTTTCTTCCAAAGCATTTCATCACTAGGAACCCTAGTCTTCAATAATACACATAGATATTTGCAAAATAATTATCACACATTAGACTAAGTAGTCGGCAAACTCATGCATCTTAAACTTGTTGTCTGTCTTTCCTCACAAGCAGAAAATTGCTATCCACTTTTTCATTGCTATTTAGTTTTCTGTAGTAAAATACTTTTGCTCCAGGAAATCAGGCAAGTTTGTCTCAGTCCCTTGACATTGTACTGCACATTGTAACAGCATCATTTCTATACAAATTGATTCATATTACAATGGACATGTATATTTGCTCCTTAACACACTTTCTTACCAGGGCTTGGTAAAATACTACTACGACAGTACGGCCGTGATCTTATCTCTCTCTGCAAGATAAAACAAAAATACTACTTTAGCAAATACGTGCCATATATCACATGAGAGTGAAAATATTTACCCATTGGAAAGTTTTTCACAGTATGTAGTATTCTAATCAAGTTATTTTTTCTCCAATAATAAATTTCTTGCATTAGTATTGTTCAATTCTAATTTTTAAATCCATTTGATTATTTAAATAACACATTGCATTTACATATTTAAACACCTGAAATGAAACATGGCAGAGAAATAAAAATTTTGAAAATTACTGAACTGAATCATATAATGGTATATGTATGATGACAAAATCATTCTGTTTCATTAGTATTCTAAAAATGAACTATCAAATCTTGTAACATCTCAAGAACAACACCAATGAGAAGATGTACTATGTCAGGGCAAATTTCTAGTTATCTTGTTATACACTATGGGCAAAATGTATTAACTTCCTTCATCAGAGACTTTGCTTCGACTGAAAGGAAGCTGTTAAAAGCAGAAATTGTAGCATCAAATTCCCATTTAATGAAAACAGACATACAAAAGAAATCGCAAACCGTCACACCAAAAACTCAGAATACATTTATGGTAGGTTAACAATTATTTCTATCAAAGGGTGAATCACTTATCAATAACAGAAAACTTGTGGTATTAGTACACAGAACACAAGTGAATGAATGGTACAAACTTCAAACTCCTGGTAGTCCCCAGTTGACCCGGTTGATAGTTCTCCTGTATTTGTGAGCGGCTGGAAGCAGCTGCTTACCGTTGTATGACTAAACATGGTGTCGTTTGTTGTCCCGTGATTGTCCTGCACGTTCTTTTCAGACAGTACTTTACGAGCAATACGATTGGATCGTCGACGGGATGCTTTACCTGATTGGATACCAGCAGGAGTCTGAAATAGTCATGAAAGTACAAGTGTACATGGATTATTGAAACACAAAAACTGCGTTTTCATTGCTCGAGTCAGAATAAAAAAGTCTCTGGGACAAAATTACACAGCAGGAAGTAATTTCTCACTGATCATCAAATGATCATGGGCAGGTGTTGGATCTGTTATACATTAATAAACAACACAGTCTAATTGGTCAACTTTCCTTCTCATATTGTTTTTGACTCCATGGGTAACCAAGAAACAAGCCAGTACACAATGGCAGGGTGGCTTTTTTTCCCATTGCAAACTTTAAATTATGCAGCTCACTTCACATGCATTCATACTCTTTAAAAGCCCAGTTACCGATTTTCATTTCTGAATGTTTCCCTTTCCTCAATTTTACAGACATACTGAATAATATTAACAGCACCTCACAGAGAGGGCAATTTACGTACAAGTCAATAAACTTACCAGTTTACTTGTAGAAGCAGGAGGTTTACGGTAAGGGGAGGCAAACACAGTACTATGTTGTATACGGCTGCAGGAGGCAATTCTACTACAGGATCTAGGCGTACGAGTGGTATCGTTTCCCTGAAGAAAAGCAAATTTTTTTTAGATATACTGTCTCCTATACAGGTGTACATTATGTATCTGTTTTCAATGTATATAATTTTAGAATGCAGCATAAAAAAAACATCTGGGATCCAAAATAATGAAGTGTTTTGGATTTCCTGAAAAATCTAAATTAAAGTTTCAAGTCCATAGTTATCACTATAAGTCAGATATTGATTACCTGAAAAATCTTTTGCTTTTTTTTATTAACAGTGCATCAATTAAATCTTAAACTAATATTGAAATATAACACAAAGCCAGTAATGCACTATCACTCATGTGTATGACAACTTAAGATTGAATATGAAGAACACTTGAACATTCAGTTGTAATTTAGACTGTAGTCCTTTGTGTCATAACTGAAAAAATGTGTCACTGTAAAATTCTTAAGTTCTTGTATGCTCTGTATTTCATTTATAATGCTTAAAGAAATAGTACCCTTAAACAGAACAGATGACACAAAACATTACTCAGTTGGTCATTTGGGCCAAATGAGCTAAAAATCAAATGATTTTCAACAATTGTTTTGTGGCTGAAAACAAAAGTGGAGTACAGAACTCTGTATACAAATAATCTTTATCATGCGATTCAATGCCCTGAAGAAGGCAACAAACAATGGTGCAATAAGAACAAAGACAACAAGAGATCTGGAGACATGCAGGGCAAGGCAAACTCTGTAAGCGAACTGAGAAAATATATGTCTATTTTACGTTTTGACTTTTCAGATTTCTGATTTGATTTCTGCAATTGCTGAATGCCCTGCTAATACAGTATTCAATAATTCCAAATTAAATGTACATGAACACAAAGTAAGTCAAAATGGACTGTCACTCAAGAGTTTCACTGTTTTGAAGTTAAAAAAGAATCTCTAATACAACACACATGTTAACAAGTATTTAGCCATGAAGTCAAAACCAAAGTAAGTTGTATATATCAGAGGCACATAAACAGCCGGTTACTGTGATGAACTTGACAAGATTGTGATTTGGGTTGCAAGAATTACAAAGATAGGAGGCTGACTGAAAAGTTTACCTTGGAATTTAAGGACATTTGAACAGACACTCCACCATCATTGAGCTGTGACACAAGACAAAACACAACACATAAACACAAACCTCATCCTACTATCAACATGTAAGGCTCTCGTAACATTTTCTTTTGATTTGAATAATGTCATCTATCTATAGTAGTGTACAGTAATTTTTTTCGCAAGATATATGAATCTACTCTATGCATCAGCACATTAGTCATATATCTTTGTCGGTACATACCGGTACGTAAATGACATATGTACAGACTTAGTAAACAAGAACTGTAAATGTCTCACAATCCCACCTTTGACTCATTAACCAAGTCCAAAAAAGAGAAGAAGAAAAAGAAATAAAAAAGCCCCTTTAGATTTTGCATCAGTCAGTTAAGTTTTTGTCATGTTTGCAAAAATTCAGTGTTTTAACTTTGTGTAGAATGGAATATTACATTTGTTTCTAATTCATATGAGTCTTATCTGAGACACCTAAGGTTTGGTAAATATTTCATATATCTCTAACAAATTTCATTTATAAAAAACCTTCCATTTCTGGACTAGCCCTTAAGACTCTTACAGCTGGGTTCATACAGAAAGTTGCAACAAGTACATTCAAATATATTTTCTACATATTACATGTGAATGAAAACTGTCCATGTAAACTTAAGACGAAAAGTTTGAAAAGCAACTGCAAATTCAGATGAACTTGCATAGTTGCAATGAGTGTAACAATATTTATTGTTAAAAGATTTTGGAGTTTGTTTTGAACTGGTACATGACAGTAAAATTTACTAATTTTTAAAATTACTTCTCACCTTTCTCATCTTGGACGGTGTTTTGCTTGGGGTACCCAGGAAACGCCGTTTGGCAGGAGTGTTAGGTTTACTGCCATAGAACACCTCTTCCTCCATCAACTTAGCCTTGGCTTTATTCTGTAGGAAGTTCATATTTGACATGTTGTTAAAATGACATAGCTTTTGTAAAGTTGCTAAACAAAATTATTAAATTGATTATCTCCTGTTAAGTTTTTTTTCTCTCCTCTTAATCAAATACCCCCTAAAACCTGCAATGACAAGTTATATCTACGATGTTTTTTATTCAAGTTCTGAAATTTCTCAACTGAGGAAGCACCATATCAAATCTTAGGCAGATTCATTTGAGTAATTCTCAAGAAATAATGAAATCAAACTAACAGTTAAAATCCAAGTAACTGATGCCTACCCTATCCTCCTTTTCTTTAATCTTTTCCTTCTGGTATCTGGTCCAACGGCTCTCTATGTAGTCCATAAAACGCTCACCTTCCACCAGAAACTGTTGTTCATGGGTTTTCTCCCATGCAGCAATGTTATCTTTCACCTCCTCCTCTACCTGAACGGAATAAGTCACCATTACAGTATGTCAAGTAGCACTCCGCATTCATTGTTTCTTATTTTTGATTTTTTTTATTCCACTTATTTAGACAATGTATTTTTGAGGAAAATGAAGCTGTATTAGAAGTTAAGATGTCAATAAAATCAATACGAAATCATTTCAAACTTGAAGAAGTAGCACATATTCATAGCTTACTAATTATCAAATCAAAATTGGACAATCTTATCAAAAGGAGTGCTACAATATGTCACTTTAATTTCCAAAGGTTTAACAGAAATCTGCAAATGCATAATTAACACCATCCAAAAGTATATATACCTTGGGCAGTTCCTTAAGGAGTTTCTTCCTGGCTTTCTCCTCTTGAAGAAGATTACCTCCCCTGTTGTTGAATCTGTTTGGGTCACAAGCTTTCCTCTGAAGGAGACAACATATGTATATAGATATATTCATATTCATTACAATAAACTATACAGTAAAGCAACTGTTGCATGTGATTTATTTTAATCAAATTCCTGACAGAAACTTCTTTGTGAAAGATTATGGTCACAACTAACACCAGAAATGATAAACAGTGATTATTGTATAGCATAAAAGTATATCTGTTTAAAAAAAAATTTAATCATCACAAACACCCAACCCTGTTGAGGCACCTGGGTCGGCATTCAAATAACCATTCTATAAAGAAATCATCATGCTTGTTGCACACAGATCAAAATTCTGACCTTCGTTGAATCCAAACAGATATGCAGTTGATAGAATGTTAGAATAAATCAGACTTGTATTGATGATGAAAAGTTTAAAAGTAGCTGCAAAAAAACAGCCGGTTTACAGTGTTTCAAATCTTACAGATAAAAATAAAAAAATCTTCCAAGTTAAAGCTTCTAGAAACTGACAAGTTGGATGACATGTCACTTTCTTATTAATCCCTTACCGTCACTCATCTACCAAAAATATGTTTAATATCACAAGAAAAAAAAGTACCAGGTCGAAAACATAAGTAGTAACTAACCTCAAACTCAAGCATCTGTTTGAAGAGTTCTTCCCAGCGAGCTACATTTTCATACAACTGGCGGTGATTGTCGTACATCTGTCGTACTTTGGCCACCTCCTGATCGTGAATACCTAATAACTCCTCCGTGTAATTGTCTGTTTAATAAGAATAGGTCATCAGTAATAACACTTGAACTTTATATCATTCCAACACTGATTTAGGGTATATTCGGTACTTGGTAAAATATAACACTTGCATGATAAAATAATTTGTTCTCACAATTATGTAACTTGTGTATGTATATCCAATTGAATTATGGTATAACAACAATACATGTATAAAAATTTACTTTGTTGTGATTTTTGGGTAAACCTTGGTTTAGCAGTCACCAGACTCAAGCAGATAATTTCTGTTGTTTCCCTTGGGTGACCTTTTGATACAAGTTTTACTGTATTTGTTTAAAACAATCTCAAGAAGTGTACCAGTAAGACAAGCATACTGACTTTTGCTTTGTCCCCCATCAGCCCCAATCCCATGAGCTATGGAACTGAAATAATTTACAAATTTTCTAAAAGTAATAAAAGTGATCTTGACCTTCACCAAACAACCTTGAAATTGGAACTGATCAAGATATCATACTTTATGTGTGTGAAGTTTGATGAGAATCCCTCAAGGAATGAAGCTGCTAAAACATTGACAAAATTTCACTGATGCAGGATGGACAGATGAAGAGGAAAACTATACCCCCTCCTCTTTTTTCACCAGTAAGGGACAATAAACAAAGTGAGATGGGGCTCCCCTGAATATTATAACCCAACCCCCCAAATATTACTGATCAGGAAGTCACTGATCAGTAATATATGATCATTTGGAAAATATTTTCATTTCCAAAGTGGTCAAGGGTGACATATGAACTTTAACCTTAGCCATGACTACCAAAATTAAGCCAGGAGTATGATGATATGGTGTAAATATAAACCAAATGTTTTCAAGGAATTATGAGATATTTCGTACACAGATGCACCCACTCACTCAAGCACAGACAAGTGATTACTATACCTAGGTGGGAAATATTATTATAGCACCTCTTTTCTACATTTGTTTTTAAGAAACAGATGAGATCTGACATATTTTTTCAAAACCAACATTTTTTTCTGATTACAAATGATCTGTGATATCCATTCTTTCAACCAAATATTCATTGCACCATCTGTTATTTATTGGAGACAAGAAATGTCCTGAGAAAATTGAGGAAGAGAACAAAAAAAATGATGATTTGTACCAGTGATGTGGAAATGTTTGAAGGCAGCTCTCTGCTGCTGACTGCAGTAACATTTATCCCACCACTCCACCAGCTCTCGCCGTGCACCCTCCACAAAACGCTGCATGTGTTCATACTTCAGCTTCTCACATCGAGTGACCTCCTCTTTTAACTTAAAAAAAAAAAAAAAAAAACACCAAGGAGATTTAATTATGCCATTATTATTGCAAAAAAAAAAAAATGTTCCCATACATCCTTATTTTCTTAATATGCAGTAACACAGTGAGAGGATTGTTATGTACTGTAAGTAATGAAAACACTTGAAAATTTAATTTTCAAAATTACCTTTTCCACACAAATTTAATAACTCTTGAAGACAACTGCCAATTGTTATTAAAACTTACAGCCTGCATTACATTAGGCTTGACCCCTTCCTTGCCCTCTGAAAAGGTGGACCGGTCATCACTGGCTAAGCCAAGTCTATCCCATAAGACATGGATTCTCTCCCACAATTTGACTGACTCCTGTTTTAAGTCTTCCAAGAGCTCCTCAAGCTGCAGAGAAATCAGACATACACTCAGACTAAGTAATGTAAAAGACCGAGAAAAGATTCTTTACGGAGACTAAAACTAAGAAACTTGCTTATTTGTTATTTCAACAAAAGTCTGGGCCAGTGTATATATCTCAATTTTACTTACCTCTGTTTTCAGTAATTTTAAGGATTTTAAGTTGTCTTCAGATAATTGAAATGTGTCATCTTCTTCACAGATTACATCCCTTTCAAAGTCTGACTCTGGTGTTCTGTCCATTTCTTGAAACAGTACCACAATTCCTTTCTTGATATTTACAAAGTCTGTAAATCGTTTTGTCTGAAGAGGATAATTATAAAAATAAACTAACTGTTAATTAAGTAATTCAACACAACAACTGCATAAGACTGTTAAATCAATTGATCCATTTTCTTTAGACAACTACCAGTCTACAACTACCACAAATTCCCTTGAAATATAATAGGTGTGACATCTACAACATGGCTTTTTATGTCAAAAACTGAACAGACAGGTGCACAAGGATTTTGTTCTTAATCTGGCTTTAGCACTAGTGACCACAGCTTACCTAGCATTACAGTGATTTTTGGTACTGAAATATTTCAGTTCTGGACTCATACTTTTCCTGTTGGACTCACTCAAATTTTCAGAACCCACTATCTCTCATCGAAACTAGATTTATCAAAACGTTGGCAATGGTGCTCAGGACACATCAGAAAAAAAAACATTTTTTAAAATAACATAGCACATTAGTAGCTTTTTCCCAAACTTGTCCAACCTTTTCTGTTTTGAGAGAGTTGACATGTTTTTTCAGTGCCTCCAACTGTTCTGCACTGGGTGTGGTTCCTGTTGGAATGTAGTATGGAGTTAGACACATAAGGTCACAGAGTTTCTGATCCTCATCTTTCAGAGTCTGTAACACCTGTAGTCTTTCACGTTTATCTGCAGCCAGTGTCTCACATCTCAATTTTAAGTCCTTTTCAAGTTGGAGCATTGACAGACCCACTTTGGCCTGAAAAATGAAATCAAAAATAAGTTTTTTTCAGTCAGTCATCCATATCTTAGTTGCTCAAATTTTGGTTAGAGTTAATCAGTAGTTTGGGAAAATTTTTAAATAATTAAATCGTGTGAGAACATTCTTTTTCTTTTCACAGCTGTTATGTCAGACAGGTATACAGTGTCAAATTTGATTTGGTAATCCTTAATTTTGCAGTTGAAACAGTTTCAACTTTTCAGGAACCACTGATTATTTCTCAATATATTTACAAAAACTTCCAATTATGTTGACACAATCTTTGCAAAGATTTTCTAATAATCACATTATTATCAAATGATCACTGCTACAGACAATAATAGAATATACTTCTGTCTTAGTTTCACCTTATACTCTATTGTATTTTTCTGAAGAGCTTTTTTGCTAATTCCATAGTAATGATTTCACTGGTATAAACGGAGCACTGATTGGTCAGTGTGAGTGATAATGCTGTGTCAGTATACTAATTGGTATGACCATTGTATTTCTCGTCAATCATAGATAATGCAATTGCCCTTGTTTCTGCTGGACTTCCCCTTTTGTTGGTTTTGTTTAAAATTTCAGTGCTAATTTCCATAGTCTAGCTTATCCTTATCCTGTTTTAGTATCAGTATAACAGTAGCCCTATTCCAAGATACTGGGTAACTTCATGTCTCCATAAATAGTGTTAATTAAATCCAAAATAATGTGGTTTATATTATTGGGACATTCATTTAGTATGGTAAATGATAGTCTGTCTATACTGGGAGATGTACATTTCCTCTAGACTGAATGGGATGTTTAGATATGTATCATTTCATCCTGTGTCTATAAGCTTATTTTTAATTTTTGTGGTGTTTTTTTGTTTGTTTTGTTTCTCAATTGGTTGAGCATGAACTCTGATCTTATATATCACTGGCCTGTGATGGGGTTCAGTGCACATGATAATTCCTTTTATTCACTGACCAATTAGTGTCACTATGCAGATGTCTCCTATTACCAAACACAGGTACAATGAGATCTTGGTTGGGGGAGAAAGGATTAAATTCAATCAAATTCACCAAAAGGTGTCTTTAAAAGTTTACATCAACAGGAACAGCATAGAGTGGCACCATATGTTTATGAAAGATGATATTAAGGACATAGTTTTACATAAATTGATAAAACAGGATAAAAAAAAATCACAGATAACAAAGGATCATAGCCTTAGAAAACTTTTAGCTTACTTTGTATTCTGGTACAGACATTTCCTCCGTTAAGATATCTAATTCTCGTCTGTATTTTTCTGTTCGCTGTGAGATTGAATTCTTCAAAGTTTCTTCTTCCTGAACCATTTCATCCAGGAGGTTGCGAAGATGCAACATCACTGTCCCCGATCTTTCCTGTCTCTGTGATTCACATATACCAATCTCACTCCATATTCTGTGTAATTTACACATGGCCACCTCCAAACTCTGAATTAGCTCCTTCTTAACCTTTTCTTTACTGTGTAGATACAATAAAAAATTATCTTAACGATAAAATATCATAGACATTTTTCAAGAGGGCTATGATCGTATGTCGGCAACAAGGATTCAAAATTATATTTCAAATATGTCATCAATATCTGTTCTCTTTCAAATTTATGATATATGAATAACTAAACATGCAATATTCAAAGGTCGTTACTTTTCTATCGAGAAGTGGGTTAGGACAGGTGGGTTACTAGAAAAAATTGTATCACGAACTTATGATTATGTTGTGTGAACGATGTACGAGGATAATAGAATCAGTAAACAAGCGGGCTCGCGAGTGGGTTATGAAATACAATGATCATCGTTAGAATTCGAATTACGTTTTTTCTTCCTTTATAACATTTCTAATTGTTTCTTCCATGACTGAGAACAATAACAACCGTAAGTAAATTTGGTGATTCAAAAAAGCGAGACGGATTCACAAGAGCAGCACACCGGATTTCTCATAAGTCAATCTACTCAATAAACATTTTAAATGTCCACACATTCAATCGAAATGACTCAAGATGCAATACATTGTACTGCTATAACCTATGATTGATACTTACTTGAACGACATCTTAGTTGTTTTCTTTTTATAAATTTCACTCAAAAATATCCGACATGTTTTCCCCCCGATTCAAACTTCGTACACAAACCACGGATTTTGATTGGCTGACCTAAATGTAAGTACGATTTTCATTGGTAGAGTAAGGGAAGTAACTCTGCTATTTTATTTACATGTTAAGACATCACTAATACTCGATTTACCTCCCTTAGGTCTGAAATGCAAATGCATTCATATTATTATTATTAAATAACAACATATTTAGGTTGATATCTATTATGCATCTAAAATCATTAAAACTTTATAATTACATGTACGTATATTTAACAGTAAATAACACAATTTGATAAAATTGATATCAAGGAATTATTAAAAGTGAATCAGTCGATTTTTAAAACAAGGGTGGCATATCCACTACTGCCGTCTCAGCGAGTCAAAGCATATCAAGAACACGGTCACAAACATTGCATTTGTATTAATATAACATACTAATTAATTCAATATTGTACAGTGAATTTGCATTACTGTGGCTATGTTGAATCTATACCTTATGAGATGTGTATGCCTAAATGTGAATGAGACAATTGAACAAATGGATGGGAACGAAAGAAAGTCATTTCATCTTTTTGTAAGATGCAATTAATGTTTATGCCCCCAGTCCGAAAGGTCGTTGACATTTTCAATTTTTGTGTTATCTATTTGTTTGTCTGTTGTTAGCTTTAACCTTGCCCATAACTTTTGCATCGTAAGAGGTAGTGCTTTCATATTTGGCACGTGTCATTGTCAAGACCGTTCTTATTGTATCAATATTTTTGACCATATAAAGTAAATCGTTACCACAATGAAGACATAAGTATCTTTTCACAAAGTGTGCATGCAATCAGCACATGCCTTACACAGTAAACTTACCATAGACGTAACTTTCATGACTCAACATAAAAATAATGCATTTTTGGTTTTTAAAGATTCTTTTGTATTTTCTTAAACGATGCCGGAAAATCAATTTTTATGTTTGAAACTTGCCCAAGTTCCATTGAATTAACCAACGAGATATAGTCGTTGATAAACGCCATTATACGGATTTACTGTCCTGACTATGGTACCAGTGTAGATTCTCTGGCTGTGAACGGTCAATAGTATCATCAAAAGCATGTAATCTGTACAAAGTCAACGGTGTACGAATGTAAATTCGTTTTGTTTTGTTTCAATTAATCAAATCAAACACACACACACCAAATGGTTAAAATAAAAGCCTGTAGATTTCTAAATTAATATTAACATGACCAATGTAAGGACAAATAACAACTGCAGATAATACAATATCTTCTGGACGTACAGGTCTTATTCTCTATTTTAATACTTCATCAAACTGCATTTTGTCACAGCGAAAACCCACTGTTTATGAGTAGAGCAAGTAGAACAACCGGAATCAGTTTGCTCCATTTTATTCATTTGGCGTTTCAGTGGACGATGAACGCATTCTCATCAACAGTCATCTCATAAATACGGCGCATTCTTTCGTTTTGTCGACAAGAAGTTGTGCATGGTCACTATCAATTACCAGCACAAAAGTAAGCTTTGAACTTTCGTGATATGACATGTATCGTCGTTATAAAGAAAACAAGGAATGTATTGCACATAGATACGTTTGAAATTTTTGGAATTCCTTAAAGATTGATGGAATATAAAAAATATCCTTGGCAGAAAAATTGATCATCGTTAATGTGTTTGCCTGTAGCATTTTTGGTTCACTATGACCAAGCATTATTTGGAACTTAGAGAGACTGGTTTCGATTCCTGTCTACTCCAAATGAGCATATACTTCTTCAGTTAATAATGGCTATTCTATTGTTAACTTAAGTGAATTGACATCGTTTTATCTGAAATCTGTTGTTCGGAAAAATGGAGATGTTTACCTACGTATTGGTAGTCATGACATTTCTGTGATTTCATTTATGTAGATAGTTAGTTACTTTCCTCACATTTTCGCTTTTTGCACCCCTGGGACATGTCATGGCAAAATGGAAGGCACAAGCGAAGTAATTTGATTGGTTCCAAGAGAAACAAATATGACCAATCGCACTTTTGAAGATTTAAAGGGGCGACACCCAACTTCAAAGCCATTGCACTATACTGTTATGTGATCTCGAGATTCGTTTGGTGTATCTCAATTTTGCAATGATATGTTGCACAGGTGCAGGAGTATCTAGAACGTTTTTTTCTGTTTCCGCCTCCATATCATCTCCAGAAGTGGACATTTTGTCAATATGCAGATGACACTTTTGAAGATACTTCATCCGCTGTAATTTTTCCTATCCTGCTGATCAGTCAGGCCGACATCTAGTGTTCCGTGATACTCTCTAACTTCACGGACAATTGGAACACATCCATCTCTAACATACATATATGTCAGTCCGACCATTAAAACTGATCTCTGTCCAAACCATTACCGAACGGACAAATGTCTGAAACATATGAAATTTCTTCTTTTAACAAGATATAGGTCCTGGGTTCATTCATGAAGTAGCATGCTTGGGGAATAAGACTTCAAGTTTAGAGGTATTGACTTCACTATACTGACAGAGTCTGAACAGGTTAGCAATTCAGGCCCATTGTTACTCCACCGTATACTCGGATGCTCATGAACAGAGTTATGACCATGCAGTTTTATACCTTGTAAATACAATAACTCCAGTAAATATAAACAGATTTAGTTGAAACTTATTATGCAGCCTTGTAACAAACATCTGGGATGACTTCGACAATGGGACCGATTCGATTCTTGTTTGTAGAGTTATGATTCTTTGACGTTTTATTATTACCTTGGACCTTGTGAACATGGTAATACAAACAGATTTTGATGAAACTTGGTATGTAGTCTAAAAAAATAAGATATCCGACGTGGTGGACAATGGACCGATTCAATAGTAATCTACAGAGTTAAGGCCCTTAGTAATTTTATTTCTATTGGACGTTGTGAACACGATAACTTCTGTAAATATGAACAGATTTTGGTGAAACTTGGTATTTAGTTTTAAACAAAAAAATCTCGGATGAGTTAAACTATGGAACCAATTTGATGTAGCTTAATGTTATATCTCTTTGAAATTCAAGTTGTGTTGGGATTCGTCAGGTGACCGTTTAGGCCCGTGGACCTTTTGTTTAGATGTATCTTTCCACGTTTCTGTATTAGCTCAATTAAATGTACGTGTCTCGATTGTTCGCCCCCCATATCGAATAATGTAGTTTTAAGTTTCAAGGTTTCGTTCTTTTGTGATTAATTACATAAGTGCAGATTATTATGTAATATTTGCAAGCAGTTTCAGTGTCTATCATCTTATACAGTTATCAGAAAAACAAGTCAACGCGAAATTCAAAACCCAAAATAGATGAAACAACGGGCAACACATATACAAAAGAAAGAGTAACAAATCAAAAGAGAGGGGAAAAAACCCAAAACAAAACAAAAAAGCTGTGTGTTCCCGAAGGAAAACTGATTCATCGACTGCACCCATTATATCAGTCTTCGTCAATCTATGTGAGTAATCGCAGACGAGAAGAAGGTTGAAAACAAAACAACCAGGCATGCTTACATCAAAAACATCTAAATTAATGACTTAAAGTTTAATGGAAGGCACATTTTATTTTTGTATATCTCAATAGCATAAATACAATCCTATAGTCTTCATCTTTCTGTACCTCTCGAACCCCTGCGTGGTAAGTTTATCTGTGATCTGTGGACGTCTTTAACCAAACTCGGAAGGAATATTGATCTTAAGATATCGAATCAACTAAGATATATATTTGTTATGGGAAAGCAGGAATGTTACTATGCTGTAATAGATCATTCACGAATAAAATTCACTTTTATTCGAGGGTTTTATACTCCTGACTTACATAATGACTTTCAGATGTCATCAACAAGATGACATTTCTGATTAGAATTACTTAAACAGAAGTAATTTTATGAACTTTTAAGCATTGATATTTAATGTAATTTGCGTAAGTTAGGATATCATTCATTAGCTCCAAATATCAGGTAGGCCATAAAGGCCAACTTTGAAAGTTCATTTTTGTTTGAAAGCAAACTCTTTCGTATAAGAAATTAGAGTATCATTCCATACTGCAACCATTTATTTAAAGCTTTAGCATTTTCTACGTTTTCAAAAATATCAAAAGCCAATATTGACATGCTCAAACGCTTTTAAGCCATTTTCCTTGTTCGATATTGTTAATGCAATAGTTTCCATTGATATTGTTTGGTTATTCAGTATGGCGTCTTACTACTCTGATATTATCCAACAGTTACCGACAAAAGTTAGATCTTATTCTTCAAATGCAGTTACATGTATTATTTTCCTTCACGTTATTCTATAAAAGGTCAGGGAGTATTTTTTTTCACAAATTTCGATTTCCAAAGATTTTTTCCTTAATGCAGATATCTGCCATTCCAAAATTAAAAAAATTAATTCTGTTGCATTTAGTTTAAAGTTACAGCCGTAAAGCAACTAAGCTATTATCCAAAATACCATGAAAACAGCCATAGTTACCGTTTTCAGCCTACTACATCATTTCATGGATAGTTGAATTTTACAATTGAGTAAAGATCCAATTTACAGTAAATTAGTTTCACGGGTTTAGAACAATAAGCGGAATACTTTTTTGCGGTGTTTACCGTCTAGAAAATACATGCATCTAAAAAATGTTGACGGCCTAAATTACATCGAAAGGACACTTCCTCTGCCAAGACAAGTGGTACCGTTGACAATTTTGTTCTTTATGGTAATTGTAATTCTTTAATGAAACTTACACTAAAAAGTATCCGCTATACTTCTGATTTCTTTAACATTGTGTGCATGCGCTCGAAACATATGCTCTTCATTTGTAATAAATATGCAAACATACATAGAAGATCTTATGGGTTTTATTTCATAAAATCTCATATGAAATGAACTAATTGATTTAAGATGATTTCTATCATATAGCACAGAAAAATTGATTTTGTCAGGTTGTAAAGTAAAAAAACTTGAATGGAAAAATCAAACGCCATTTTCGGCGTAACGCCTTTGCTCATATTAAGACATCGAAATAATTTTCTGACCGCCATTGAAAAACGCTCCAGGGTATTGTACATTAGTGACATGTTCCCGGATGCTACACCTTGGCTTTTCTAATGCTATTTCCCCTGGTCTTGTGCATAGTCGATAACTTATGCTTTTCATGTGATCCTCTAAGCACACTCTTTGATAAATTTCTCTCCCTCGGATCCCCCCTCCTCTCCCAATAGAATGGAAGACTGCAAATATAGATCTTGTGCACAAAAACGAGCTATTTCCTAACATGGTCAGAAAAGTATCATTAACGGAATGTTTTCTTAGTAACGACTTTTGTCAGGGTTCGATATCGGACCTCATTTTTATATTACTTGTAATATGTCGCTTAGCGGCGATAACGCACTCGCGATTAATTTCTGAGTGGCAGGCGTTCGATTCCTCGGATACTCCGGTTTCATCACACACCAAAACACCTTTCAATACAGTAATCAATAATGATTAATACAAACTTAAGAATTTTTTCGTAATTGTAAAATGAATAAAGTTAGTAAGCATCTAGGTCTCAGCCTATCAGAATCTATCGGTTGGACCAATAATATTGACTTTGAAATATTACAGATTACGCTATAAATATCTAACAGGAAATTAAATGCAGACAAAGTGTAAGTCGTATTTGTCTTCAGGCTATGACAATAACAGCATTGTCAGGTATAATCTTGTGGTACCTCAACCTGACGTGTTAGAAGAGCAAGCTGGCTTCCTCTAAATCAGAGACATATATAACACACGTCTCTGTCTAAATCAAAGTTGCAAAAATTACAAAATCTTCATCATCAACGCAACAACGGCCACAGTGATCAGTAAGGAGTTTCACGGGTCAATTGCAAATATCAGAAAGTAGTTCATGCAGAGACGAAAGAAACGTGCGACGAATTTTACCAGACCACAAACTTCCAGTCTTTAATCACAGCGGTGCAGTAGCAGACTGTCAGATTCATCAAGAAAATTAAAGACGGGATACAGTTAACTTTGAAATTTGATTATATTTTATGATATTTTCAGCAACATTACACATATATGTATATAAAATATAGGATGTGAAAACAAGCCAAAGCTTATTACAGAGACTTGTAAATGTAGAGGTTGAGAGTACAGATCGCCTTACTAGCCATGGCAAGTGGAAATTTTTCTTTTTGGCGAACGGAATGGTGTCCGGCTTAAGACCGAAGGATCGCTAGTCGAACCCCACCGAGGGCAGTGTATTTTTCATTACTCCTTCCTTTTACCAATTATGTAAGTGCCCGCTTCTCGCCACATGCATTAATTGTTATGGACAAGTTGTGATATTTTGAATAAATTGTGGTTCAGTACTGCCAGGGATGTCCCTGGTACTGCGCATAGACAGTTTGACGGTTACGTGTTTTGGTTTACGTCTGTACTGAACAGTAACATGCTGGTTTATGAATGGCAATTTAAACTACGACGAAGAATCGATATTATTGATACTATGATAGGTGCATATCGTACTATGAATATGATTGATTTCGTTTAACGGCGATAAGTCGGGCTACCGATATCTTTAGGGTATACATGTCAAGTGTTGCATCACATGGCTTTACGACATCAAGGCTACGACCTCATTCAGTCGGAACACTTCGGCCAATTCACAATAATCTTTGATGGAAAGCGAAGTTCTCCGAACAGACCTCATTATGCGGAATCGTTGTAACGTCGGTTTCGATTGGTGAATGAATGCAAGTAAACCAATCATTTTCTCCCTTTCTTCTGTCATGGGCTTGTTGACAAATTCAATGCGCACATGTCCGGTGAGAACCGCTTCTTCATGCATACTGGACATTGGTCACAATATGGCGATAATATTTGGACGGATAACAAGTCCACCATTATAAATACGATATATTGCGCCATGTCGAAATAGTGCTATATTCAGTGGATTGACAGAAGGTAAGTTTGCATGACCGACAGAGGTCATTGTTGCCGACATTCAGCATCTCTCGATCATTACTATTTCGAACCAATTATTTGCAGTTTTCTTGTTCTTGTTGTTTCTGTTTTCTCTGATCAGTCGAAGATTCACACTGTTGAACTTCTTGAGTTAAATCCTCGTATCAATAAAAGAAACAGACGATCGCATAGCAAATGAACCGTGTGACTGTTTGATGTTGGTTGTCATTGCACTACAGGTACTTGTAGACATGAATGTTGTTTTTCAAAAATCAAATATTATAAGTTAATAGAGAATATACCATTTTATAACGCCGCGATGCTAAATTTCAAAGCGCAGTAAAAACAACTAAAGCAAAACAAGGTAACTACGTGGGTTATTTTTAGCACTTTTGTTAATGAGCATATGGGCATTATAAAAATGAATAAACACGTTTCTGCAGAGCCTCCTGTGAGGAATCAACCCTTGGTCTCTGAGATAATAATCCATTGGAGGTGGGGAGGATCCTGGGTTGGGTCGGGGAGGGGAATTTGCCTGTTCTTAATAATCCCCTTTTGGATTCCTCCTTGGGGTTCATTTATATCAGACACTTGACGACGAGGGACATTGTTTAATGTTCGACATAAACGAGTGCTAAGGAGGAATCTCAAAAGAGATCACTGTTCTTATATGCTGGCAAATCAGTTTGTGACCTCAGAATAATTTTGAATGCAACATTTCATAAATGAATATGGACGGACCTGCATGAATTGATATAGGCATACAAAAATTTTAACAATGCTTGCCAGAAAGCAAAATATGATCAGTATATGTCTATCCTTGTTTCATAAACTGACAATTTTGACTTTGATCAAATCAATATTATGAAAACAATATATGATATCAAATTTATCAAAAGCAAGATATGCTACGATAATGAGTTATCAGATTTCCCAGTTGCTGCCCAGTCTGATTACTGAAATTGATAATTATCATTGCCCATGGTATAGATTGATATGGAAACTATCTGCAGTACATTGATATTTCTGTCTCCTCTTCAGAAATCAATACAGCAGATCATGTTTCGTAATGTTGATATAGTAGCACGGAATCTGTATCAAAATAGAATATAAAGCTTGCCAGTATTAGATTGGTGTAGACTTATCATAAAACTGTGTCTTCTCACACATCCAGTATCTATCAAATTATCAATGACATCATAATAAGTTGCTTGTGTTAACTAAACAAATTATCCTAGTATAAATATGATCAGTTTTTCTTTGGAAAGTAGTGTGAAAATCAATATGAGTTATTGATTATGTTCATCAATAATCAACTTCTAAAATGCAACCATTTTTTTTTTAAAATCAAAGGTTTCCCAGCCGTGAATTGATTGTGGAATTCCTGATTTTTTTCTTCATTTTAATTATTGGTTAATTGTACATGTCTCTGAAATCTTTCTCTAATGCAACAGATGAATATTGGTGAAAAACAAAAGAAATTTCACCTTTTTGTGATCTGAAATTAAGTCACATTTTTTGTGGGATTTGCCTATATTGAAAAATATCAAAATTCAAGTCACTAGTGAAAGTATACACTTGAACACAGAATAAAAGCATTAAATAACCTAGGAGTTGACATCTTGTTAATCCATCAGAAACATTTACATCAGATATCAACATAACCAATTCTAACATTTTGATACTCAAGGTCTTCTTGTGTCATATGAATACTTAATTTTGTGGCTCTGGACAGATTGGCCCTAGCTCTGAGGTCATATGATATATCACACTGAAGGTGACCAAGAAGAAAGAAGTATATATAGAACCACAGTTTGAGTAAGTGATGACTTAATTTTCATAAGTCTGGACAAGCAATAGGTGATACCTAAACAAATACAGGTAGTGTTCAGGAACATCAAACTAATGGTTTCCAATAGAGGAGCTGATGGAGCTCTTCACTTGACACCCCTAAGTAATGGCTACAAGTGTGAAATTGAAATTTCACTGCCTATAACTTGAGCTCTGTTTAAATTATAGAAGCTATGTTGTTTTAGTTTTTTTTATATAAAAAATGAATTCATAAATCATACCTATTCCATTCATCAATATACTGTTCTGTACTGGCATTTAATGGTAAAATCACATTTAGCTTCAAATAAAGACTCATCATCAAGGGAAACCTAGCTCATGGATGTTGGATCTTTTGTGGTAACGTACTTCAGCTGTCAATTGTGGTCTTTTTATGGAAACTCATACAAAATTTACATGTCATGGATTTTAACACTGAATTATGCAATGTGTATCGATAGACTGGTGCATTGTAGAATTGTATCTTTACCAGGGAAAATGTACATCTTAAAACTTCACATTGAGAGAAAAATTGTTTCAGATTATGGAAGGGTTATTTTAGAATTTTAATGATGGAACTCATATTTAGTTTAAAATTTTGTTTTCAGCAGACTGACCCAGTGAAATTTTGCTAGTCATTAAAAACAATGCAGAAACAGCAATTTTTGTAGGATTTTTTTTCAAGTGAGTTCAGAACAACAATTTCAAAATTTTGATGAGTGCAAATACTAAGAGATGTAGTGGGTTTCTTAAAATCTGTTTAAGTCCCAAAATCTGTTTAAGTCCCACAGGAAAAGTGTGAGTTCACACCAGGAATGCTCCTTCTACATTTTATTCCCACCAGAATTGGAAATCGAGAACACAACAGACTTTTCTACATCAGGTGCTTATCTGTTTTTTCCCTACTACAAACCAACCTGAACTCTTTCCACCAAGCTGTATGATAAGCCCAATGATTTTCATTTGTTTCCCTATTGTAAATATTCTGTTTCTTGATAACAAAATTTCTGTATCTCAACCTATGGTGTTTACATATATTGAGTTGATTTGGTATTCATCTCACGGGCCTGGCCAGGATGTGTTCAATGTTGTTGGTTCTGTTGATGTATACCTCATTCTCATTTGAAAATTTGATAATTACTTGGATTTACATGGCAAGTGTTGTTGGTGAATTGGAATACATTTACCCTTTCAGAACACCTGGTCTTTCCCTTGTACTTTTTCAGAAGTCTGGATGTAAATCTTTTTTATGTTCATATTTTTGCCCTAGTTTTTTTTAATTTGAGTTTAAATTGATGGTTATATCAACAAAATGTACTTATTAAATCCACAATGACGAGAAAAAAATTATGATCTACATCATAGGGTCAGAGGAGTGGGGCTCGTTAAGAGAAAATATCATCATATTGCTTAGACAATTGTCTTATTTATCAGGAAAAGATGAAGTTAAAATAGTACTTAAGAAAAATGACAAAAAAAATGAGAATTGTAAGACTACAGAATCAACATCCACATTTGTATTAGCTATAATTATGTAGGTACTGCACTACTGGTAGGATACAAGTATGTATATTTGCCTTGAGTTGTAAGGTGAGGTATTAGCAACCAATATTGCTTCCTGTTATGAGTTCGATTAAAACATGATGATTCACTTAGAGAAAAAAAATGAAACATAAACTGACTGATGATGATACAAAATTGACTGTTTTTCCTTATTATCTGTCTTAAAGTTTTGCACCTGTTGCTATACATATACCTTGCACATATAAGTACCTTATATCTGATTTCAATATATCGGACATATTTAGCCTGGAGCTCAAAGTATTCTATCCCAACCCATGGGTCATATAGTCTTTGTATATGGATAGGATGTGACGGTGTGTCATATTTAGATATCAGTGGCTTAGATCTTTGCCAACAGGAAACTGAATATAGAACAAGCAATGAGAAATATCTATCTTTGTCTGAAGGACCAGTGAGATTATGCTATATACCGCAGCATCCATTGTCCATCGTCCGTCAGTCAACTTTTCTCCTAAAAATCACTAATGGTCATAAATAAATGAGAGGATTTTGAGTAAATTAGGTCAAAAGCATTTTTGGGGAAGAAGAGTATAGTTTGTGTAAAAATTGTAAGTCTTTGCACTAAAGGGTCTAAGGAGTGGGGCTCAAAAGGGGGCATTTTAAAATCTAACTTCTCCTGTAGGAATAATTGGAGATTATCCAAGTTTTGGCTGAAGCATTTTTTGATGAAGGGGAGTAAATTTTGTATAAACAGTGAGTATTGGTCCCTCTTGGGCAGCAGTGGCAGGGCCAAATTTAGAAAATAGAGCAACTTCTACTCCTCCTTTAGGAATCATTGGATTTGGGGCAAATTTTGGTCTGAAGCAATTTTTGGTAACAGGGAATTAGCTGATCTGAAGCATTCTTCGTTGAAGGTTTTTCCTGACTCTCTGGGGACAGAAGGAAGGGGCCCAAGAAAGAAATCTTTATATAAGTTCCTTATTCTTTTGATTGAATGAAAAAAAAAAAAAAAAACCCAGGTGAGTGATACAGGCCCTAGGACCTCTTGTTTAATGACTTAATCATGTCATATCTGATTGTATCCAAAATTTTTATTCTCAGGTTCAGGTTGGCTTTGGATGTCACCATGTTAAAAACAAATACCTCCGTCACACCAGATTTGGATTTAGTATACAAGAAATGGGAACAGCGCACCCCAACTACACCAAATCCTAAACCAAGAGAGGTAACTGGACAGCTGACAAACCGAATTTTGAGTGAGGGAAGACAACGCTGGAGAGAAAAGTTTGGTGATAGTGTACGACCAGTACGTCACAGAAAAGTTCGAGAGAGGAGGAGAGCGGCACCAACTCCTACAGATTCTGTAAGTTTTTAAGATACTGTGCATCATCTTACAGCCATAACCCAGATCAGCTCTTAGCTTGCTAGGTTATTTATGGCTTGGACCAAATTTTACAAAATTTTGAAAAAGAAAAAATGTAAAAATATTACAAGACATCATGTTTAAAATGATAATATGGAACTATTTCATGTAGATATTATTGTGCTTCTTTTCTGTTTGGAAGAAAAATTATATTATCTACACTGTTCAATTTATCTCCCTTCGTCCATACTTTCTAAGTTTCTTATACATTAGTTATATTGTGATAAGGTTTTAATTCTAAGACATAACTAAAAAGATATTAAAATTCAGTTATTCTATGGAGGATATTAGTATTGCATAGATGATCATATATATTTGAAAGGGTAACTGATTTCCAACATAATTCTAAAAACGAAAGTTTGTATTTTAGTATCATTTTCTGTAGGCCTTACCACCATTGACTTCCAAGATTGAGTTTTATCAAATAGACATTTGAAATACTTTTCATTTTTGATGGAAAATTATATATATGATAAAAAATAAATTAATTGAAGAGTTTGTGAAAACTTAAATACGAAAGAAAACAGACTAATGTAGAGTTAGCTTTTCATGATAATTTCTATTGGTAAGCTTAAACTTAGTTCATAAGCATGGACAAGAAAATGATCATGGATGTTGTGTAAAGAAATAAAATGCAGTCTGCAAACTACATAGATGTGAACAAAGAAGTCTTTAGATTATGTCATGAAACTGTGCTTATAAAGGTTAGTAATCAATTTTATATAAGTGACTGATCTGATTATGTGTTCATGTTTTATCAATGCTTAAAGCCCTAATTATGAATTTACAGTATATCATGAAAAGCATGTTTAAAAGCTTAGACAGCTAATAGGCCTTTTTGATTTTTTCTAACATTATGTTATATCTATCTTGAAAATTGTGTATACTTTATACATTCTTGTGATAATTTTACAATCAAGGATTGATCAACTGGTTTTCTGTTGAAATGAAAACTATTGTGCAATTATTTGTTGATTGTATCTGGAAAATAAAGGTGTATTTTGTTTATATTTTTACTCAGAAATGAACTTGTTTATATTTCTTCTAGGATTTTGATGCAATAAGTAATACATACAGATATAATTGGATGGAGTCATGAAAAACACAGCTCCTAGTTGCTAGGGTGTGAATTAGACCTCTAGCTTGAATTATTCTTTTTTCTGGTTTTCACCTCCACTAATACTGATGATTGTGGTGAGGCTATAGTGAAAATTTTGTCTCTAGCCAGATACTCTGCCACTAGACTAAAGAGAAATCCCCTCTAGCTAAGGCTAGAAAACTGACCATGTCTGCCTTCAATTCTAGTATCAGTAGGACTCATCAGTTTAAAACATACACTTTGTATTTGAGACCTTATAATGTACAGTATGAACTGATAAAATGTTATTGGTCACTTTTGTGTAAAAGAATTTAAAAGAATGAAAAAAAAACAGCATTTAATTTGGATAAACAAACAAGTAATTGATGAGTTGTTAGCTAGTTATGATAACTGATCATTGATGTTGAAATCTCCATGAACACCACAAAATATGCAAAACTTCAGTGGCTTATAGTCATGCACTACACTGTAAAAGGTGCAGATTTCAGTCACACTTGACTGCACATGATCAGTTATTACCTCTCTAATTACACTCACCGACTATAATGATTATATCAAGATCTTGTCATGACTGTTTATCTTGAACCTTTATATAATATGTATATAATCACCGTGACCAATTACTCATGATTATATGCCATTCCATATTGATATATCACTTCCTTTCTTTGAATACATCATACACTACATCAATGAGTGTCCTTGAAATTTTGATTTTTTTCCTTGTAAAGATTCTGTGTCTGTAATTCTCCTATACCAATTTCAATGAATGTTTGCTGGAACCTTCAGTGGTCAAAGATGCACCAAAGTAGACAATCATATTGTCCTTTCACCTAAGAAATTTGGAAGGGCAGTGCTAAACACTGTCAGATGGCATGAGTTTCAACAATTTCATTCCAGACCTAAATTTGCAGGAAACAAATGCTTTTTATCGATGGAAGGGTTCTTAAAGGTGCTTTATCAAAATTGTTCCTTTCATGACCTCAGAGCTCCATGTTTGTCCTTAGGGTGGGGGTGAAGTTTTCAGTAGTATGTTTATGTAGAAAAGTGATAATTTAGAGCGCAGCTTGTTCAACTTTCATTGGAAATAATTTTACTTCATTTAGAATTATTTGTATGGAATGGAAGTTTAATGGATGAGCAAAAAGAGATCAAATTGACTTGAATTTAAAAATTCCTCTCACAACCCAGCTAAGATAGAATCCAATACCTTTCATGAATGCGAAAGATCTTAGACTTAGCACTAGAATTATGAATTTTATACCTCAGAGTTTCACATTTTCTCCTCAAAAGAAGGGGAAGACTGCAAATTACCTTCTTGTGCTATATTTCAAATCAGAACATTCTATTTTTGAGCATAATTTGTTTGCTTACCATTTGAAAGAATTCAAATTCAATTACTAGTATGATATGAACTTATGGTACTGAATGTTACCCAGAGGTCTCAGATGGGTGGTGTCAAAATGGGTCAATTTTACATAATTAAAATAAAAGCTTATCAAGATAAAGACATGGTAGATTTCAAGAGTTCATAATGGCAGGATCTCTTCAGATGTTTGACATATTGTGCTTCCCATGTCTCAAGTGTCTGGCATTGCCCCTGAGGATTGACTGAATTTGACAAATTGATATAAGAAAATGACAGGGTTGGACATAATTGTAACATTTCCATCAGGAATAAATCAAACTTGGTTACAATTATTAGCTTTGGATGATACTCTAATGTTAGCTACATTTGCATTACATGTACAATGGAGTTCAGGTCATTCTGAATTAACTGTTTTTACAACAAATTCAACAGCTTTTATAGAACTCGGATGATTCTAGAGGCCCCTAGGCCTCTTGTTGCAATGGAAACATTGTGTACCTCTAGAATCAATATTGATGTAATGTTTGGTGAAATTACTGTTAAGATTGGCTGGAAAAGATGGTTGATTTTTTATACAATATTGTCTGTATTGACATGTCTGCTAGGCACAGTCTCTGTAGAATTGATCATGTATTGTCGAGTAGAGTGCCCTTAAGATATATAAGACCTATGGCCAGTTTCATTTATCAGAACTTTGTTAAAATAGTCCATTTAAACACCCTTTCAGGAGAAATTGAGATGGAGACATGTAGTCTTAAGTCTTGCTGAGAGTCTAACAAATAATTCTCTTTGTCCATTATTTGACATTACTAGGTCACAAACTATTGAAAACTTGATGAAAATAATAACCTCATTAGTGACCTTTTTATTAAAGAAGAACTTGTCAGAAATGAATATTTCTCTTTCATCATTATTTGTAACAGCTGTACAGTTAAAAAATACTGTATCTCTTTTAAACATATGAATGTTATTTGATAGTTTTTACAGACTGTTAACATGCACAGGGCATTTAGTAGCCCCATGAGTGTGAGTTTTGGCTCTTTGAATTGTAAGGAAATGTCTTAATTCAAATATATTTTGATCCCCTCTAATTTATGATGAAATTTCCAAGTTGCTAATTACGTTATGCTCTTTTACATCTAGAAATAGTTAAATCATTTGAATGTTACACAAATATCAATATATTGATTATTGTCTCTGCCTCAGGTGGCAAAGTCATCAAATTCAATTTGCTCTATGAAGCACGATAATTGATAATGTTATTGGTGTTTTGAATATTTGAGAAACATTACCCTGGATGCTACCATTATTGCTTTCTTAGATATCTAAAATGTGTTTCAAATTTCCTCCAGCTTTTATTGCCTTTGCTTGAAAATAAACCCATCCATACTGTTTCATGTTCCTATAATTAGACGACCCCTAGCTTTGAGACAAGTGCCCTGTAATCAACCTGTCCATGACTTTGAGACAAGTTTCATGTAATCAACTTGTCCGTGACTTTGAGACAAATGTCCTGTAATCAACCTGACCCTGACTTTGAGACAAATGTCCTGTAATCAACCTGACCCTGACTTTGAGACAAATGTGCTGTAATCCACCTGACCCTGACTTTAAAACAAGTGTCTTGTAATCAACCTGACCCTGACTTTGAGACAAATTTCCTGTAATCAACCTGACCCTGACTTTAAAACAAGTGTCTTGTAATCAACCTGACCCTGACTTTGAGACAAATTTCCTGTGATCAACCTGACCCTGACTTTAAGACAAGTTTCCTGTAATCAACCTGACCCTGACTTTGAGACAAGTGTCCTGTAATCAACCTGACCCTGACTTTGAGACAAGTGTCCTGTAATCAACCTGATCCCAACTTTGAGACAAATGTCTTGTAATCAACCTGACCCTGACTTTGAGACAAATGTGCTGTAATCCACCTGACCCTGACTTTAAAACAAGTGTCTTGTAATCAACCTGACCCTGACTTTGAGACAAGTTTCCTGTGATCAACCTGACCCAGACTTTGAGACAAGTGTCCTGTAATCAACCTGACCCTGACTTTGAGACAAGTGTCCTGTAATCAACCTGACCCTGACTTTGAGACAAGTGTCCTGTAATCAACCTGATCCCAACTTTGAGACAAATGTCTTGTAATCAACCTGACCCTGACTTTGAGACAAATGTGCTGTAATCCACCTGACCCTGACTTTGAGACAAGTGTCCTGTAATCAACCTGACCCTGACTTTGAGACAAGTTTCCTGTGATCAACCTGACCCAGACTTTGAGACAAGTGTCCTGTAATCAACCTGATCCCAACTTTGAGACAAGTGTCCTGTAATCAACCTGACCCTGACTTTGAGACAAATGTGCTGTAATCCACCTGACCCTGACTTTAAAACAAGTGTCTTGTAATCAACCTGACCCTGACTTTGAGACAAATTTCCTGTAATCAACCTGACCCCGACTTTAAAACAAGTGTCTTGTAATCAACCTGACCCTGACTTTGAGACAAGTTTCCTGTGATCAACCTGACCCAGACTTTAAGACAAGTTTCCTGTAATCAACCTGACCCTGACTTTGAGACAAGTGTCCTGTAATCAACCTGACCCCAACTTTGAGACAAATGCCCCGTAATCAACCTGACCCGAACTTTGAGACAAATGTCCTGTAATCAACCTGACCCTGACTTTGAGACAAGTTTCCTGTGATCAACCTGACCCCAATTTTGAGACAAATGGCCCGTAATCAACCTGTCCCAGACATTGAGACAAATGTCCTGTAATCAACCTGATCCCAATTTTGAGACAAATGTCCCGTTATCAACCTGTCCAAGACTTTGAGACAAATGCCCTGTAATCAACCTGTCCCAAACTTTTGAGTCATATATTCTGTAATAAACTACCCATAATGAAGTGAGATGCTTTGTAATAAGCCCATTCCTAACTTTGTGTCATATATTGTGTAGTAAGGTCACCACTGATTGTGTCAAATATCCTGAAGTAAGCTTGCCACTAATTTTGAGCCAAATGTCCTGTAGTTAGTCTGCCACTGACTTTTGTGTCAAGTGTTATTAGCCTACCCTTCTCTAAAGAATTATAGGTAATTTTCTTGGGTAGTACTTTATGATTTTGAATTCTTTGATCTACAGATTGCCTCCAGAGTGATAGCCCAATTTAAGAGCACACCAATTGTGACAGCAGATTCACTCAGAGTTGTCCGCCCTTTCATGGGTCAGTGCTGTGCTTGTCTCCCAGATAGCAAGGTTTGTGTTTAAGTAGTAGTAAATAAACATTAAAAATATTATCAGTTTTTTTTAAGATATCTCATTTTGATATTTTTTGATAAAATTCAGTATTTTTTGAAAGAGCACCTTGATTTTCATACTGTAATCTGCCATGACTATATGTATAAATCAAGTTTAAAAAGGTGTTGATGATTAAAATCAAAACAATTTTTTTTGCTCTTTCCCCAAAACCTAACCATATTCAATCTATGAATGGGGTCTACTAAGTCACTAAAAATCAGTTCGGGTCATGGAGCCTGTGTTGTAAAACATGGTAATGGTTACAGCTTTGGTGGAAAGTCTTAAACAACAACCAGATTTTAGCTTTTCTTTGCTCCCTTCTCTCTTTTGGTTGAAGTTGGGAATTTTGCCTGGAGGGTCACTTTTTTTGTCTTTTACAAGGTTATGTTAAATAGTTGCATACAAACATTTTCACATTTGAAATTTTTGTTTGTTTTCATAGATTGATCTGATATCGAGTACCACGGCCAGCCAGGGTATCAGGGACATTCTCAATGTAAAGACAGAACTAAGGTACTATGATGGGAAACGTATGTCACTTGAAAGTGTCAGAGGGTTATGAAATTTCTCCAGTGTTAGAATAGTTAATGCTGATATATTTTACCTTCGAAGGCAAGAAGAAAATTGTCATGGTTATCTGAGTTGATCAATATATATACTGTATCATTGATATATTATCTTTTTTAGTATATTTTAAATCAAAGTTAATATAGGTATAATATGAAACTGAACATACTAACATACTGTCTTTTAAAACTTATAGCTCTAAATTCTCATAAAATAGTCGATGAATTTGATATTTAATAATATATTCTTGGGGCTTAATTATCATGGTTTTTTTCCCCAAAAAATAGTATTTTGTTGTCACTTGATTTCGTGGATGATATAGTTCAATAATTCTAGTTACTAAAGTTCATAGACATTGAATTCATACATTACAAGTACTGAAGCTATACCAATATAAATCCCTCAGAGAAATTAATGACTGTACAGTAGTATCCATACAACATTGTAAAAATTATCAATGGTTCTGTTTTTTACTCTTTTGGATGATGGAATAAAACCACTAAAAAGACACTTTTAAAATAGAAATTGATGAATAATACAATTGTCTATTTCATAACTTCCATTTAAAAAAACATTCCTTTCACATGAAGCTTTTTGTATAAGCATGAAAATTTGACCCATCGTTAAAAAAAATTCTTTACAATGAACACAAGTGCAAAAATCAGAGGGATTTCTGATTTCACATCTCAAGTTTAAGTGAAAAGGGTGACAATTTTTGCAGCTTTTTTTCTCTCCATCAAAAAAAATTGCTGTCCAGATTGGTGATATGAAGTTGAAATAAAAACAATGATTTAACTTGGTCTTTTACACATGTAATTTATTAAATGGTATAGCTTATAGTAAACAGGTGATGTTTTACATTGAAGTCTTGCTGTTACTTAACAAACATTGAATTACTTTTTTGAGAGGATGATATGCTTGGCCCATATTCTGCAATTATTTGACTGCTAAATATAATGAAAATTAGATACGATCATATGCATGTGTTATGTAGGGGGTAGTCTTTGTAGTGAGGTGGTCAGTAAAGGGAGATGGTCATAAAAGAGAGATAGCCATTAAAAGAGGGGTAGACACTGTAGAAAGATGGCCATTATAGAGTGGTTCACAATAGAGAGAGGTCAATAAAGAGAGATGATTACTAGAGAAGGTTGACACTGTATAGAGATGGTCACTATAGAGAGGTAGACACTATATAGAGATGGTGACTAAAAGAGAAATGGTTATTTAAGCAAAATGATCATTATAGAGATGGTCACTATAGAGAGGTAGACACTTTATAGAGAAGGTCACTAAAAGAGAAATGGTTATTTAAGCAAAGTGATCATTATAGAGATAGTCACTATAGAGAGATAGACACTTTATAGAGAAGGTAACTAAAAGAGAAATGGTTATTTAATCAAAGTGATCATTATAGAGATGGTCACTATAGAGAGGTAGACAGTATGTATATGGTAACTATAGAGAGGTAAACAGTATATAGAGATGGTCATTATAGAGAGGTAGACACTTTATAGAGAAGGTCACTAAAAAAAGCAAAGTGATCATTATAGAAATATGATTACTATAAAGAGATAGCTATAGACACTAAATAGAGATGGAAACTATACAGAGATGGTCACTATGGAGAGAAGGTCATTAAAGAGAGGTAGTGACTCTAGAGAGAGTGTCATTATAGGGTGGAGGACAATTTAGAATGGTGGTCACTATAGAGAGACAGTCGTTATAGAGTGGTAGACACTGTAAAATGGTGGTCACTATAGAGAGATGGTCATTATAAAGTGGTAGACACTGTAAAATGGTGGTCACTATAGAGAGACAGTCGTTATAGAGTGGTAGACACTGTAAGATGGTGGTCACTATAGAGAGATGGTCATTATAAAGTGGTAGACACTGTAAAATGGTGGTCACTATAGAGAGACAGTCGTTATAGAGTGGTAGACACTGTAAAATGGTGGTCACTATAGAGAGATGGTCACTATAGAGTGGTAGACACTGTAAAATGGTGGCCACTATAGAGATGTATATACTATGAAGAAATGGTCATATAAGATGGATTGTCATTAAAGAGTTTTTTTTTACTATAGACAGGTAGACATTATATAGAGATGATTACTATGCAGATGGTCATTAAAGAGAGGTAGTCACTATAGAGAGATGGTCATTATGGTGTGGTAGACATTATAGAAAGGTGTTCACATTAGCAATATGACATAGGTGGCTGCTATAAATAGGATGTCATTATCAACAAGTGGTACATATAGACAATTCAGACATGTATTGGACAAGAAGAGGACATATTACAGACACAGTATATAGTGATAAAGCATCACTGAGAATGACTTGACAGTTGATAAGATCTTAAATGATTTATTATGGTACTGTAGGTCTGGTGGCTTCCTGGAGACTTCATTTGACCAGCTAGTGTACAGTCTGAGGAGAAAGACCATACACAAGTATCCTGATGTATCACTGTCTGTCCTTACCTGTAACAGGTATTTAACCATTCCTTAGGGTAAAATTTGTACTCATTTATTTCCTACAAAAGGGACACTAAAATAGTTCTTAGAAATCATAATTTACCATGTTTAATTGGCAGTAAGCCCATGTCTTGGAAATAAGCCAATTCATAACTATTGCTTTTTTCAGTAGAAATAAGAATAAATGATTTATTTAAGGATATTTAACCATATAGAAAGCACTCTTCATTTGGTCTTGGTAGCCGAAAGTCCCTGAAAACCTAAGGATATATAAAGACTGTGTTCACAATAGTAGACCAGCATTGAAATATCTGCTGCTTTAAGCCAAGTCCTTCCTGGTTACAATATTTTGATATGGAGCAAGCTAGCCCAAAGTCCTCTCACTAACACTACTTATTATTGTTTTACATTTACATTTTTATCGTATGGTGGATGTCATTTCTGCAATGTGTATGTAAGGGTGGCCAATCAGAATTAAAAAAGTGGTAACAGTGTGGTTTTTGTCTTTCAGGGTTAAAGAAGCTGTGCTTCAGCATTCTGAAGAGGGTGTGTATCTACGATATTCAAAGCTGATCTGATACTTTCATGCTTTTATAATTCATGTTTTAGATTTTAAAATATTTAATTTCAAAATCTCTCCATCCAATTCTGATTTACTGGAGCTAAAGGTTAAGGAAGAATTTTTACTGCACAACTTTGATTTATTATACTTATAGGGTCAAATGACACCAAATTTTTTATAGTTATATGACACCAAAACTTTCTATAAATAGTAACATTGATGTTGAAGTTGGATATATGTATAGTTCATTATTAGCAGATGATGTTGTGGGAAAGGTACAGTCAGGAGATGTTGTGGCCAAGGACCTGCTTAGTGGAATGCAGGCAAAAATCTCCAATAGACTTCTACGGTAGGTTAGCCACACTCATATCCTTGTACTGTTAATTCATCATTTAACAAAAATTAAAAAAAAAACTGGAAAGTATATCAATAAAATATATAGAATCTGTGATCTGGAGTAATTTTTTAAGATTTTTGGCCGGGTTGCACATAGTGCAAATCCAGGTTACAGTATGGTGAATGTCGGGCGGGCGGGCAGGTGGGTGGGTAAAAGGGGTACCAGTTTTGTAGTATCAACTCCTCCTAGAGTTTTTGATGTAGAAGCTTGAAATTTTGTAGGATGTTTATATATATGTTGAAGATGTGCACCTATTAATTTAGGATTTATTCCGGACCTTTTTTATTGATTTTCCGAGCTTTGGAACTTAGACATTTTCAACAGTCTGGCATGGGAAATCCAAGATGGCAGCCTTTGCCTCTCATTGGTTGAGATGTTGTTTTGAGTGTGATAGCCTCTCATTGGCTGAAATGTTGTTTTGAGAATGATATATAACATTGCACTCATCCCGCAACCTGGCAAATTGTGGCTTTGCCCCATTTTTCAACTTTTGAAATATGTTCTTGCCAATAACGAAACACAATGTCACACACTTACCAATTACTGTATAAGAAAATACTTTTCTAACCTACAGGTTGGCTGGCTGGTTCCTGCTGAAGTTCCTCTCTTACTTCCTACATGGTGTCCAGATCCACAAAGGACAGCTCGAGATGGTGCAGAAAGCTGTCGCGGTACTTAACACCTTTTAATTTGCTGCCAAAATATCTTACCTAAATTTCTTCTCTTAAATATTGAAAATAGAAAAATCATCATTCATATAAAATATTCTTGAAAGTGAGATTAAGTGAAAAATGTTCAGTTAAATTTGAAAGTAAAAAAATCTTGCGCAAAAGGCTACTGAGTGGAAGCTCTGAAGGGGCATTTACTGGTATCAAGCTCTTCATTTAGATTACAGACCTTGTGAAATTTACGTATATGCCATCTTAAATCTGTTCAACGTATAGGGGTGGGCATATTACTTAACAAGGCTTCAGAAATAAAATGCATTCATGTTTCTGTTTCATTGAGAATAAATGTGATGATCTGCATTCCCCTACATTGGGGCGGCTTATAAGTGGACAAGTGTTTATCAATACATTTGTTAAGAAGAGAGGAAACACTTGGTGATATACGTTTCTCAATTACTGGACATGGCATTTTCCTTTAATAAACTATATTACATAACAGCATTTCTGTTTTTTTAGAGAGGAACCCCGGTGATCTACATTCCTCTGCACAGGAGTCATCTTGACTACATACTGGTGACCTTTGTACTCTGGAACTACAGCATCAAGGCCCCCTACATCGCTGCTGGCGACAATCTCAGGATGCCAATATTCAGGTGTGTACAACCTATATTTCCTCATTAATTATTAATTCTTAGACTAATTCTGCACATGATTTAGGTGTTTTGGAAAGTAGGTGTTTGTTTTTATGTGTATGAGAACACTATTTCTTGTTTCACATGAATGAGTCACTATTTCTGTGTTTCACATAAATTAGTGACTATTTCTGTGTTTCACACAAAAACAAGTTTATGAAGTATCTTTATTTCACATGCCTAAGAATCTGTTTCTCCTGTTTCAGCTCCCTCATCACAGGACTTGGAGGTTTTTTCATCAGACGTAAACTGGACAAGAAGATCGGTAGAAAAGACAAGGTGTATCGAGCAGTACTTCACTCTGTAAGTTTGTGTGGACTTTTCCTTTAGGTCATTTGATAAGTAAAAAATTAACTACCCAGACAGTGTGACTTAATAATGCAGATACTTTATTGTTAGTAGCTACTTATTTCTCTGACTCATTCTTATTACTTGTTGTTGAGTTATTATAAAACTTAAATGAAGTATTGAATTGCTTCACAGTACATGCAGGAGTTGCTGAAGAGAGGCGAGGCACTGGAATTCTTCATAGAAGGTGGACGCTCCCGAACAGGAAAGGCATGTCAGCCGAAAGGGGGGCTGGTATCTGTTGTTGTAGATGCACAGCTTAACGGTATGTAACTTTATCATGTAAGTTTGTGAAAGAAATTATGATTTTATGATAAAATATGTCTTATTCAATTTTGATCTGGGTATTAAGATCTGCCTGTAAAAATTAAGACACTGTAGCCTGCTCTATATCCTATGATTGATATGTCAATTTATGCTGCATTAAGTTCATGCAAGGTCTTATGGTCACCTATATTGCCTTTTCAGTAGAATCCCCTTCAAGTATTCTTAACATGGTGTGGGTAGTACTAGAATGTCTGCTTCAGTTCTGCACTATCACAAGAAGGCTTACTCAAACATACCATAACCTCCCAAAAAACACCTACTCACCTACAGTGTATGCCTCACATACACTGACAGGCAGACAAACTTTTAACATGGTGAAGTAGGTATGTTATGCCTTGCTGTTTCAGATGTGATGGAGGATGCTTACATTGTACCTATAAGTATTAACTATGAAAAGATTCTGGATGGAAACTTTAATCGAGAGCAGATGGTGAGTGATGAAATAGGTGTGAAGATTGTAAGTAAAAATAGGAGAGCGAAAAAAAAAGGTAAAAATATGCAAAACACAGGTATACTTTTTGCAATCCAAATGTGTTAAGGGTCTGTGAAAATTTCATAGAGTGCAAGTAGTCACCACTTTGTTGTTTGTGTGTCCATCTGTCCCTTTGTGTTCAGAGCATAATTTTACCAACAGCTTAGCAAGGATCATGAATCGTAGGGTCATTGGTCATTATAAGGCAATGTGCAGTGTACCAAATTCAGGGCCTGCGACCCCAGTTATGGTTGTAAAAATTTTGTGTCCGGAGCATAACTTTGCTTTCATTTGATTTAGGATAATGAAATTTAGCGTCATACATAAGAGCAGGTACACTTTACCTAATTGAGGGCCTGAAACCCCTGATTTACAGAATTATTGCCCTTTAGTGTCCAATGAAGTAGTTTTTGAGTAGCATTCATCTCTTTCTCTGATAATCATGTGTAGAGATATTCTCAAAGGTTTTAGAATATTCAGTGCCATGTTGATTAGAAATGAGGGATCTTTTTTAAATGTATTGGCTTTCAACGATTATAAACATTCAAAACATTAACATACAATGACACACAAAACTGCTAGAACAATTTTGCATTACTTTGTTGTATTTATTCAAAAGAAGCAAGTGGCATGAATGACTTTTGCCTGGGTTGTTTTCCCATCAAGCAGTAAAGTGATTTATGTTTCAGGGCCTACCGAAGGTAAAGGAGACGTTTATTGGCACCATCAAGGCTATATGGCGGGTCTTCTGTAGTGACTTTGGTAGTGTAAGAGTGGAGTTCTGCCAGCCTTTCTCCCTCAAGGTAACACGGTTACATTTTTAATGTAGAGATAATCATTGAAATTTGAAGAAGTTGACTAAACTTTTCTATTTTCCTTACCATATGTATCCAGGATTAAGCTTATGTCTGGTTATAAGTCCATCCATATCTGTTGTTGTGCAACAGATTTTCCCAAAAATGCAATTTTATTGATTAGCACTAAACCCTAAGGACTTCAGTTCTTCTTCTCAAGTCGTTAACAACAGGATGAATCACAGCAATGCAGACTGATTCATGTCTATGACTGTTTTTTTTAAATGTTCTGAATGTTTGAATGTTTTGAAAGCTGTTGAGAAAATTATTGAATGTCAATTTATATTACGTTGACTTTTAAAGAAGTAGTTTGTCATATGTACATTTCATGTTGATATTTTGTATCCTTGTTTTAAGAGTAATACACCCTCTGACATTTTCTTTTCTTCCTGTTTCAGGAATACCTTGTAAAGATCCAGCCTCCACAGCCCTCCCCTCCTAATAGTGGTAGTGACTTGTCTGGGCAGGACAGTCCTCCAGAGTCTCCCCCTCCTATCCACAAGGCCGGCAGTGTTAGCTCACTGTTTGGGACAGACATTATGGTGGAAGATCAGCGCCATGCCATCAAACAGTTGTCAGAACATATTGTACACAGTAAGTCTTTCTCCTACACACGATATCTCTGTAACCAGCAAACCTTGAAACTGATTTGGTGGCAAACACTTAAAGCTTTGCTAGAAATATTTCAATACAGACTTATCTCAAATTTGACAATAACAAGCAAAAATCCTCGACATAAGTATAACAATTTCGTCTTCTTGAAAGGAAGTACAGATGATTTATATTGTGACTTGTATCAAAAGTTTGACCAGGCTGCATTTCCTACATTTTAAACCAAGATTTATTCCGTATGCTGTGAGGGTATGTCAAGTATGAGATTAGGCATTTCTGAATAAAATACAGCTGACAACAAGGGATCGGCTTATTATTGAGCATGTCCTTATCACAGGTAGTACATAATAAAGTGAAGGTAAGACAACATAATCATGAGTATTTATATTGACAGCTTGCGTCCACGCCACCCCAGTGATGTGTACCAATATGGTGGCTTTTCTTCTCCTCACAAAACACAGGGAGGTGAGTACAAAATTAATGAAATCTACATTTATATTTGAGGAATGAATTTTTTTTTATCTTCTTAAGTGTATTGAAAATTGAAAATGAGTGATACCATGCAGCTTGAATCTTTGTGATGAAATAACTGCATCAGTTCTCATGTTAATATATATTGTGTATACTGAAATTTGTTTGCAGATTTCTCTATCACAAAATTTGATGTTATGATCAGTGAAAAACCTAAGAAATGTGACATTTAATCTTGATATTACCCAATATGACGTCCATCGTAGTAGTTACTAAATTAAATCACAAACTTCAGGTTGCGTCAAAAATCATCTATTCTAACATATTGCGAAGGAAAGTAATATTCTAAAGGGTCTTCAATTCAGCAATTACTGTAAGTTTTTATGTTCATTTAGATTCTCTAGAAAAAATAAGGGTTTATTGGTGTACTAGCTTGCTTTTAATATTTTTTTGTGTGAAGGGTAAGGGTTTTATGTTCTACATGTTCAAATTTATTACAAATTCTGTAACTACAGGGCACAACCATGAAGCAACTGATACAGGACTTTGATTGGCTGATGCATGAAATGAAGAGTCGTAACCGTGATGTGGCATTTATAGGAAGTTCCAGCCAGGTCACTTATTATGCCTGCGCTCTTTTGGGATCCAGTTTGATTAAAATGTAATTAAGACTCTATTTCTGATTTAGAGATATTTTTTATATCTAATTGTGAAAGAAAGAATGCACTGTTTAATATCTATAAACCCTACATAAGCTACTGTCTAGAAAGATTTTCAGAATTCATACAGATACTGTAGTGTCTTGTTAATCCAGTCACACAATATAGTTAATTTGTTTGTCCAGCTTTTCTGCATCACAACCAACTGACAGTGATTCACTTTTGTGAACAAGACAGTAAATATGCTTTTCAAACAACTGTAGATTCTTTTTAAGGAGAACTTAGTTGTGATACTGAAATAATCCTTTTTTTTTGTATGATTTTTATTAATCTAATAATGAATACTATTATGCCAATGTAATAGTGAATTAGAAAAATAATATGAACTTTTGGAAAATTTTTACTTTTCATCTCCTCATTTTCGTGGGGATTATATTTTGATTTTGTGAGTACTCGACACCCACAAATCCATTAGTACATGAGCTGTTTAAACTGTTTAAAGATGTTCATTGACCTATATTTATTCACAAAATCAAATGTCTACACAATAGTGATATTTTGACAGAAATCCAGAAAATTGAGTCCCACTTGAAATATATGATTTTACAGTTTACAATCAGGTTTATCAGTAAATGATGTAATTATTTTGTGTGCAGATCCAGCTCCAATGAAGGTGAAGACCAAGTGATACCAACATTAAGTCTACCTACAGTGTTTGAGTTGAGTTACTACAGCAACACACTGGTGTCTGCCTATTTACTGGAGAGTGTGTTGGGTAAGAATGCACCATTGCCTGTTATTATCAAGTAAAACTATACACCAAGCCCATTTTATCCCTTTGATATGGATGGGGGCTAAGTGTTATATTGTTGGCCATATCCATCATATAACATTTTTATCCATCCTGAATCATAGTCTTTAGAATTCTTGAATTTCATGGACAATTTTTATGCAAGTTGGTGATAATATCTTAGATAAGGCTTTCAGAATCATGTTAGAATAGTTGATACTATTTATGGACAAATTAACTAATTGATATAGACGGGGAAGCATTCATTCATTATTATTTTTTATATTAATGATTTAGAGTTCAGGAATTTTTCAATCTAAAAATTAATACAGGTTGGGGCCAATACAGCAATCTATTTCTAGTTTGAAGGAGAGGTTTTACCCCAGTTTTCAATAGAAAAAATTAAATATGGTCGCCCTTTGTTATTTCGAAGTCACTAGGAATGCTGGAAAACTTCAAGTTATCCAAGTATTCAATCTAAGTGAGATTGAATGTTTGGTGAAAAGTTCGGCTGGGACAGAATTAAACAGGGTCTTCGAGTGATACAAGTTTGAGATAACCAGGTTTGATTGTACAAGAAAGCCATCAATATAGACAGGCATTCTAAGTGAAAAACATTTTCTGGGAATCAGATTTTATATTGATAAAAAAATGGTGTAAAGACAGGTTTAATAGTAGTGATTGGATGTTTATTGGTCACCTTAGTGCTTATATACCACTTTTACCAGTTGTGTGATATACCATCTGTGATTATTTATCTGTAAGATTACCTATCTTTTCCAGTTTGTTCTGTGATATACCACTGTGATATTGGATTGTTTGTACCGAGCCAATCACAAACTGCTGATGTGATGTCTGCCTCCACCGATGATATCCTGGACACAGCCTCGGAGATATGTAAACTGCTCAGATATGAATTCATATGTATTCCGGTATGTCAACTCGAAAAGTAAAATACATATCCTTTATATAAAATACGTCCATAATTATTTGCAGGAGAGATACTATTTTTTTAATTTATTTTCTGATTCAACTGGTTCAGTACAATTTTAATTTTGAAATAGATTAGAGATGATGACTTTCAGCCTTTCGTCTGATTTTGGCTTTGTCAAAATCAGAGTATAAGGCAAACTTTCAATGTTTCCCTTGAAAATAACTTTTAGAATTTGAGTTTCAGCCCACTTAACTTTTAATCTGTGACAGAACATAAAATTTATCTTATGCATACTCTCTGACTTGGATTAAAATACTAGAGCAATTTTCTTGTAATTTTTATATGGTATGATTTTGCTCCTGCAGCCGTGTGACAAACTTGAAGAAACACTTCTTGAAACTCTACATCATCTGATCTCTCGTGAACTCTTCAAATACCGGGACCAACAGGTAGTCTTTTGTTCTAATGTTACATGGTTGCATTTTTCCTCGGATAAGCCTGGGGAGGCTACACATATCTTCTGACACTAGATACTGCAGAAGATATGATCACGTTTGCTTTCTGAACCCTGGAACATGTCATGGGAAAATTGAAGGCACAAGCAAAGTAATTTCTTGGGTTCCAGAGAAAAAAGAATGACCTGTCACAGGCTGATATGCTTGTTTTGAAGATTACCAAGGAGCAACACATAACTTCAAACCATTACATTGCACAGTTATGTGACCCTGATATTCGTTTGATGTACATCAAAGAATTGTACTAGTCTTTTTGTCTTGTCCACAAGGTGTCACACATGGGACCTTTAATTTTGCCATGACACGTTCCAGGGGTGCAGAGAACGAAAGTGATTGTAATCCCTGGAGTATCAAGGCTGATCTCCTGACTGAAAGTAGGAAGGGAGGCTTAAAACAATATAGAAATATATTGTTTGCTTGCATATAAAGAAAATACAATTTAAGATATGGGTTGGTTTATTGTCAGACATGGACTTATTGCCAAATGAATATATTTATTGATTTAACTATGCAGAATTTTGATACAGTCTGTGACGGTGAAATGATTTGATGTGGGTCATACTTCTTCAAAAGTGCAAGTGTGTTGATACAGGCATTATTCATGGTGACACCACTCTCATAACTGGCAAAATTCCAAATTGCAGTCCAACTCTCTCTGGATACATTTTCCCTGTTCTGTATATATTATATATATATATATATATATATATAAATCATTTTTTTCATTTTATTTGATAATTTTATTAATCAGTGCTTTGTGGAATTTCAGACAGGTTCAAACCTTGACCTTGTCAATGCTCGTATGTCAAAGCAGTTTGCTGAAGTGGGCTGGGAGGACGAAGAGTTGGATGGAGAAATATTCCAGGAGCAGTTTATTAAGGTACAGATGAAGTAAAATTTCTTTCTTGTGTGATACATGACCAGAGTTTATGTAAGTCTTTGAGACAGGATTATATCTGTTCTATGTTATTCATATTTATACCCACCACTTCCTAATGAGGGGTGTAAAGTAATCATTTTGTGTGCATCCATTATCACCTTGTGTAGAGGATATCTCATTAACTCCTGAACAGATTTGGTTCATATTCACACTGAAGTATCATTCAATGTATGGATTCTATGTTATATAATGCCTGTATCAAATTAAATGAATTCTTCCTGATGTCCAATTTCGTTATTAATTCTATAATTCTTAAGTTGCCATTTTCCTTTCCATATTTCTGTTTGATCAGTCCTTCATCAGACTTTGGACTCTTAACTTGTTACAGTACTCTCCCTTGTGTAGTCAGGTGTTTAATATATGACTTTACTTAACGTACAGGCTAACATGGAGAGGCGGGACTGTGTAGAGAACATGGTATTCCTTCACCACATACTAGCACCATTCCTCGAATCATACCTCTTGACTGCCCGCCAAATCAACACAAACCTCAAAACAGAGATGCCAGGTAAAATCAAACCTATGCCTTCATCATTTTTTTGTCTGTTTGCTCTCAATATTGCATATTATTTTCCCTGTTTATTCATTTATAAATCCTATTTATGGTTGTTGTAGTTGATGCGCTGAAGTTTGGGGTTTGTTGATTTGTTGAATTTGTAAGGTTTTGTTGAACCTTGAACAGTCAGGGTCATTGGCCGCGATCTCCTTGTAGTAGCAGCTGGTTGCTAGCTAAATGAACAACAAGTAGGAGATCCGCCACATGCCATCCAGAGCTATAAGGGTAAAGTGTCTTGCCAAGAGACACAATTGCAAAAGCATCATATGAGCCATGATATCAGTTTTTCTGGGAAACACAAAATGCTACAAGTAAGGATCATGCCATACACTTTACCACAGGTCAAATTGTCTGTTGCTCTACCAGCTGAGCTAGTGTAGCCCAAAGGTTTAGAGTTCAGGGTTGTTAACTATAATCAGGATGTTCATCTTTTCACCTGTAGATAGAAAGTTTGCAGATGGAAAATTTTCGAGGTACTTTAACTCATTAAACCAATTTTCATCAAAGAAGGTTGCAATCATGATATGTACCTAAGGCTGTGCATGTAAGATTTTTATTTCATTTTGATGAATTTTAAAATGATGATGTCCAATATATGTATTCCGTGTCTTCTCAGGTAATATTGATTTCTCTTTCTATGAAACATGATGACCACAACGAGATCCTTTAATTGTTGTGCATGTGAAATAAATATTTTCATTATTTCCAGGATTTTCTTTCATGGAATTTTTCTCCATGAGTAGGGGATATTTTTATCAGTGTAGAGTTAAAATTCCTGTAATTATGCATCATAATGTTGTTTTGACAGAGGATGATTTCCTGCATAATGTACATGCTTGGGCAAAGACCAGAGTAGAGAAAGGAATCGCTGGTTATGGTAAGATTTTGATAGAGGAGTTTTATCAGATTTAGGCACTTTTAATTAATGGACATTGTTCTGGTATGAGAAAGAATCTGGACTGTATCTTTGCAATCAAATCTGATTTCAAATTTAATTTTTATGTGATTTTTTCCCCCATTTTTTAAGAAATCAAAAATAGATATGTTCCTTGAAAATAAATATTGTTTCAATTTTGGATTCCAGCTGAGAGTGCTGCTTTTGAATCTATAAAGAATGCCTTGAAAGCATACCAGGACGTTAAGGTAATAGACTGCTACTATGCTGGCAATATTCGGATGGTGGAGGTCAGAGATCACTTTGAAGTTCAGGACAAAGTCAATAATTACATTGGCTTATTGGAGAGTCTACAGGAGTGAATATGCATCACAAAGTGTGGGTTTACAGGTTTTACCTTGAGTGAAAGAATATATGCAGCTGATGAGGTTTCAAGGGATCAAGTCAAAGAGCAAAGGATCTTTGTGGAAAGAATATATATCTATTTAATTAGAGAAACAAGTTTTAAGGATACTTATAGAACAAATGTAAAAGAATACACGTAGATGATCAGTTGTTCGAAGATCCTTGGAGAAAAGATAACACCTGTTATTCAACAGTTTGAAATACTTCTATGTGATAATACTCGTGACAAACTTCCAAACCAGAGAGAAGAAGATTGCAGTTTTGCATGAAAGTGCTCTTGGGATGAGACATCACCAATATATTGTGCTTAATCCAGTTTTTGTGTGAATGTGTTGCAAGAAAATGTTTTCTTGCATGAAAACTGAAAACATGTACACACATTTAAGTGTTTGTGATATGTGTAAGAATTATATCTAGCTGTGTTAGGATCAGAGACACTGAAGCTTAATCTCACCAATGTTGCCAAGCACATAAACAAAAATATTCTCTTCCGCTGCTTAGCGGTGTCTAAAAGGGTTATTGTATTTGTACAGTTTTCAATTTGATAGATTTTATCCTCTTTGCTAATTGAATTTCAACACTCAAACAAGTTTTATGATACATGTACTGATTATTCATTGTCAAAACTTTTGTATCTTTTTATGTATCAGAAGATTTGAGATTATAATGCATAGTGTTGAATTTAGCTGCATGAGTAGGTGTACATGTTAATTGTTATGGGAAATGGAAACTGTTTATAGTGTATGGAGCCGTGGTAAATACTATCTGCAATATACACTTGATAACAGAGAACTTCTCCCTAGCTCAATCAGTTGAGTGAACTAGTCTTTTCTTATGCTCAATCAGTTGAGTGAACTAGTCTTTTCTTTAGCTCAATCAGTTAAGCATAATACTCGTAAGTCAGAGGTCCTAGGTTCAAATCCCACCAAAAGCTTTTGAAAATGAAGACCTCTGCTATATTGATACCCATGTTCGGACTTGGGAATAATACTAACCATTGTCTCACAGACATTATTAAACCTTTGTTTTGGATGTTTTTTGTCAAATTAAGAAGGCAAAATGCAGCATTTGGATAGACAGAAAAAATTCTAAAACTTGAGGACATGTTCCTTCCTAATCATTTGAGAGCTAGACTGGTAAGTCATAGTCCTTGGGTTTGATCCCCAGTGCAGCCATTCTGTACTCCTTAATATCAAACTTCTTAAAATATATTACAGATTTGAATTTTTACTAGTGCTTGAAGAGATGTTACTGTAGATAGAAATTTCTCAGATTTAGCAATGCTTGTCTGGACACCAATATTAGTCATGATTTGCATACAAGTCTTCAGGTATTCAAATTCTCAGAAGTAAAATGAATGAAAATTATTTCAGGAATTTGACAACAAAATCTTCCATTATTAAAATCATAAATTTTTCAGGTGTGTGTAATTTCTTTGAATCTATTTGAATGATATTGAACTCAAAGTAAAGGCACCTCATTGATATTGCAGATAAATTTTTCAGAATGATATTACATCAGAACATCATTGGTTTTCAAGCTGATGATTTGAACTTTTGAAGTTATCTTGAATTAGTGTTATGGAGATAATATAGAATCCATGTAAGTCTACAATTCCGCCCCAAATTCTGTTTGATTTTACTTATCCATTTTTCTTCATTTTTTTTGATTTTAATCCATGTGACTAGAACCATGACTGTTTTTTTTTACATAACTTAAGAATTCAAATCTGAAATATTTTGAAATATTGTAACAGGGAAGTGTTAGTCATGGTCCAAGTTAAGTTTATTTAGATTTTCTTATCCTTTGTAAATTAATTATCATTTTTATCTTGCCATAAGATTGGAGTTCAGACATATTGCTTCTTACGCAGAGTTTAGGGAGATGCTTATTACAGGATGATGAAACAGCAATAGAGATGAGGAGGGTTTATTATATTAATATTGTTGCCAGACAAATATGCTTATGTAAATATCTTAGATGTATCATTTTACTTATGTAGAGATAGAATCAGAAAATGCCAACATTTGCCTGTGATAAAGGAAAGATATGTACTGTAGAAAATTGTGAGATATGTGATGATTGTATTGTGGTTATTAACCAATTAGATGTTGTGTATTGCAGTCTGTACGATTATAGCATGTTGGCTTTTTGAAACTTTTCATCATACCAGTAAGAACTCTTTTAGTCTTGATTGCAATACATAGTATTTAAAGAGAATAATTGATACAGAATAAAAGTGAGGCCTACTGAGAGGGCAGGGAGGTACAATGTACGTTATCTTGTATAGGTGGTAGGGTTTACTTAATTTTACTGTTTGTAATGTTTGAATGAGGAAAAATGAATTCTCATGACCATGGGTGGTTAAGTAACTATGTTTAATGTAATCAGAAGATTTATATTGGGTATATATAACAAAGGCTTGGTGCATGTCATGATTGAAATAAACAGGTTTTACTGTTGTAATAATGGACCACAAATATTTGGTGCATATGGTGTTTGAAACGTTTGATTGTTGTACAATATACACTGAAATACCAGGCATCTTGGTGCATCAGACATTTGGATTATTCAGGTTCTTAAAAGAAAATGTTTTGGTACAAGCCAATGGGTAATTTTATTCTTGATATCATTAGTCTTAAAATTGAAAAAATTGAAGGAAAATTATCAAAATATTTAAATATTTATAGAATAAGATGAAAAAGTCTGAATTCACTGAACATCATGAAATAAGTATTCTATATGCAGCCCATTAATGGAATTTCTTCTGAAAACTTCAATACTTTCATAATGTTCTGTAAACAAACTTTCTTTGAGATAACTAACTTTTCTGAATTACATTGATTTACATTTGTGAAACAGATCATACTATCCTATAGCCTAATATCTTTTTATCATCCATTTTATCTCACAACAATCAACATTCTTGAATATGTTTTGACTGGGAAATCAATATAATTGCAAAAGAGAGGCGTTTAACTGTAGTCCTCTTTACATAATTACATGTGTATTTCAATGAAATTATAGTTTACAGGTATATTGAGATCTCACGAATTAGTCACTCCAGTTGATGTGTACTGTACTTCAGGGATAGTGGATGATGGGTTATCATACTGTAGAAACATTAATCTAAATTGTTTTTTACTTGGGATGAATACTTTATTGTATAGAGCATACATTTAGATAAGATTTTCTGTATTATTTTATCATTCATTAGACATTTAGATATACATGTATTGTATTACAAATAATCAATGACATGTTTTTCAAAACTTTTTCCCCATGTTTTAAAAATCTAGTCCCAATATACTTTGTATATCTGAATATCTGTGTTGTTTCATGAGACAGCTTATATCATGTGACAATCATGTGACATGTCATTTGGCTGTTGAAGATATTTAGCACCAGATCACAGCTTAATGTAAACTCTACACTTTACTTGGAAAAAATGAAACTTGATATTTTGAAAAAAATGATGGTAAAATTGATGATGAAAATTTTTGTTTTAGTGATTGACATTACTCTATTGGATTATGTTGATGCTGAGGAATATAATGATGAGGCATAAAAGAAGCTTAGGTACTAAATTATTAAAATGGGATAAGTCATCAAAAATTATTTTATTTACAAAAACTTCAAGTTCAGTCAGTTATGGCTTAGGTGATTTGATCTTGCTTAAAATTTGAATAATTTCACAGAACACTGCTAGTTATCTATATTCCTTGCTGCTTGTAAAGGGACAGAACACTGCTAGTTATCTATATTCCTTGCTGCTTGTAAAGGGACAGAACACTGCTAGTTATCTATATTCCTTGCTGCTTGTAAAGGGACAGAACACTGCTAGTTATCTATATTCCTTGCTGCTTGTAAAGGGACAGAACACTGCTAGTTATCTATATTCCTTGCTGCTTGTAAAGGGACAGAACACTGCTAGTTATCTATATTCCTTGCTGCTTGTAAAGGGACAGAACACTGCTAGTTATCTATATTCCTTGCTGCTTGTAAAGGGACAGAACACTGCTAGTTATCTATATTCCTTGCTGCTTGTAAAGGGACAGAACACTGCTAGTTATCTATATTCCTTGCTGCTTGTAAAGGGACAGAACACTGCTAGTTATCTATATTCCTTGCTGCTTGTAAAGGGACAGAACACTGCTAGTTATCTATATTCCTTGCTGCTTGTAAAGGGACAGAACACTGCTAGTTATCTATATTCCTTGCTGCTTGTAAAGGGACAGAACACTGCTAGTTATCTATATTCCTTGCTGCTTGTAAAGGGACAGAACACTGCTAGTTATCTATATTCCTTGCTGCTTGTAAAGGGAATCTATATTGCTTTATAGATGTGTTGAAATTTCATATTCATTGAAATGTTTTCAGAAGTTGTAAGTATAAAAACAGAGATAAATGCACAAAGGGTGGGCTTATTACTGATTATGTGATATAACTGGTAAGATATGGTAATATACCAAACACTGCCAAGATAGTGAACATTTTGTATTTCTAAGCTTTTTACAGCATATTGTACAGATTATTTAGACTGTGAGGGTATCATGAGCTGAGCCAGCGTTAGACATAGTGTAAGTCTACTTGGTTGTTTATTGAGGTAAATTAAGCTCATATACTGCATTGTAGCTCAAGGAATATAAAATTTTACATTTTTTGAATATATGGAACATATTCTCAAATGAGTTGTGAATTTTCATTTGTGTTTTAAATAATTTTTGCGAGACTTCCAATTTAGGGTCATAGACCCATGATCTTTATAATCTATATAACTTTTTGTTAGTATTTTTTGTGGCTTCAAAATACAAATTGTGTGTCCTACTCTTATTTTTGTGCTACCAACATACATTCCTTTCTGGATCAGATTCTTCATTTTGAAAAATTTTAAAGTAAGGTTTTAAAACAAATCAATCTTCAGTATTTCACAGACAATGAACATGATACCTTTAAATTCCAGTTTTAATTGAGGTTTAAATTCCATAAATGATTGAATAAGTAGATTTGCAATAATTGAGGTCTATCCTGGTATCTGTATTTACATTATAGATGAGAAGATAAGTGTTGAGATTTGTTCCATCCTTGAACACCTGATCTTGGCTTTCTTGAACTTTTTTCACGGGCCTTTGTGAACCTTTAAACTATACCTACATTCAGGTGTTTTTTGTCTGTTTTTGTTCTGGTGTCTAATTGTATCTCTTGTTTGTGAAGATGATTTACTTAACCACTTTTAAGAGAAACTCTGTCTGTTCTTGTTGAGTTTACAAATTCTGATACTGTACTTGTAAAGTACTTGTAAAGTAATGTTTTAGATAGGTGATTGAAAAATAATCAACTTGGTCAAATGTCTGATTGATAGCTTTTTCTTCTCTGATTATTTTCAGGTGAATAAGTTTCTCTGTCATACTGCTAGGCTGTATCTTGAGACATCTCAGGATATTTTTAGTAGATGTTCTGATGTCACCAGTTATTTTGTTTAATATCCTGCTAATATGTTTAACAAGAACTTATGT